ACGAAGGTGCACACATACGAGAGGCCGGGCTCCAGGTCTGTCGTATGTGTGCCACTTCGTGCTTGTTCCGTTTGTGGAACAAGGACCAATTAAAAGTCGGGTTGAAACTACGGTGTAACAGCTCTCAGTATAACTGAGAGCTGTTACACCGTAGTTTAGGGTTTAAGGATGTTGTAACTATATTGCGTCTGTCAAGTAATATTTCTATACCGATTCCTTAAAGAATTTCTAAAATCTGTGTACCTGTGTTTGTTCTTACAACATACATAAAAACAGCACCTTACTTTTCTTCTCTTTTTTTTTCGACACGTAGAACTTTTTTTTTTTTTTAGTTTGAAAGTACATTACAATAATAAAATAGCAGAAACTGAACAAGGACGAAGGTGCACACATACGAGAGGCCGGGCTCCAGGTCTGTCGTATGTGTGCCACTTCGTGCTTGTTCCGTTTGTGGAACAAGGACCAATTAAAAGTCGGGTTGAAACTACGGTGTAACAGCTCTCAGTATAACTGAGAGCTGTTACACCGTAGTTTAGGGTTTAAGGATGTTGTAACTATATTGCGTCTGTCAAGTAATATTTCTATACCGATTCCTTAAAGAATTTCTAAAATCTGTGTACCTGTGTTTGTTCTTACAACATACATAAAAACAGCACCTTACTTTTCTTCTCTTTTTTTTTTGACACGTAGAACTTTTTTTTTAGTTTGAAAGTACATTACAATAATAAAATAGCAGAAACTGAACAAGGACGAAGGTGCACACATACGAGAGGCCGGGCTCCAGGTCTGTCGTATGTGTGCCACTTCGTGCTTGTTCCGTTTGTGGAACAAGGACCAATTAAAAGTCGGGTTGAAACTACGGTGTAACAGCTCTCAGTATAACTGAGAGCTGTTACACCGTAGTTTAGGGTTTAAGGATGTTGTAACTATATTGCGTCTGTCAAGTAATATTTCTATACCGATTCCTTAAAGAATTTCTAAAATCTGTGTACCTGTGTTTGTTCTTACAACATACATAAAAACAGCACCTTACTTTTCTTCTCTTTTTTTTTTTGACACGTAGAACTTTTTTTTTTTTTTAGTTTGAAAGTACATTACAATAATAAAATAGCAGAAACTGAACAAGGACGAAGGTGCACACATACGAGAGGACGGGCTCCAGGTCTGTCGTATGTGTGCCACTTCGTGCTTGTTCCGTTTGTGGAACAAGGACCAATTAAAAGTCGGGTTGAAACTACGGTGTAACAGCTCTCAGTATAACTGTGATGTAGGAAACAGTGTTTTTTTGTTGGTGGCTACTACGCGCGAAAATATGCACATGAGACAAAAAAAAAAGAAAGGATAATTAGACTCAATGGCGCATTGCTCCGAATTACACGCTGGTTTAAAAGAGCTTCTTTAAAGCTCACATAAAGTTTGGAACACCTGCGTCTACACAAGCGTTCACCAAGAAACAAGATTGACCGAAATCACGGGGTGCCTGGTCAATCATTTTTATTATTAAGTTCACAAATACAACCTACTCATAACCCTCATCGAGGCCCTATGTAACCATAGAGAATCTAACGTAGACCAGGGTTATCTCGACGGCACTTTCGTAAGCGTTTTAGGGCACGCGAATCTGGAATTTGTAAAAATGGCAGCACATTTGGGATGTATTCTGTTTATACGACGCACAACTTTGGATGTCGCAAAAGTGGGCAGAGAGGAAAAAAAGAAAAAAGGCCAGAGACGTTTATTGCAGGCCATCGACGCCATGGGCTACATCAGCCATGAGAAGAGCCCCATCAGAGCGACAAACAACGAACATTGCTTGCCGACGTGGCAAGCGCATCTTGTTTACCTAAATTTTATGTTCCTTTTTTTTTTTGTTGTTGTTGTTGTTTGACTTGAGAGCCATTAGTTGTTTACCAAACAACATGTTAGTGGGCATGCAGTATTGCGCAAAATTACCCGGGTCGCCATGGGGACGATTTTGTTTTCGGCGGAAAAACGAAACAAAACGGTTTTCGTTTCTTTGTCGAGACTATAGTCCGTTCGCACCTAAGCTGACAAAGCGGTGGAAGATACATGCTCGTTGGACGGCGAGCACACAGCTTCCAGCGCAGGGTCAGTTCAGATGTGAACGGGGTACAGGTCACTACGCTTGAGCGTGCCATCCTATACGACAAAAGAACATGCTCAGGTGTTTTCGTTATGTCGGCGAGCAGTGTTGGTTGTTTCTTTGCTAGGCACTAAGTCAGACAGGTCACAAAAATGGCGACGGGTCGCAAAATCGCCGCCAAATTCGTGGGATGTAGCCTCCGGTGACCCAAGAGATAACAGGGGAAGAAAAATACAATGCCCCTTTCGGCAGCCCATGGGCATCGTGCTCGGAAGTTGGAACAAACGAAAATGATCGAGCACATTGGGAAATAACCAGACGAAAACAAATACAATGAACAGGGCGCGTTTGTGGAGGTCGTTGCATGCCGTCAAGTCGCCGGGAAACCCCTTAGCTGAGCGACCTTGCAAGGACGATCCGAGGTCACGTGATCTCGACGGCGGCGGCAGGTGACGCGGTCGTCCTTGGCGTGCTCACGCGTTCTCGGCACGATCGTCGGCCGAGTCAGCCACGCCGCATGACTCATCGGAACCGAACGCTGTTCGAATATTTGGAGTTGGAGGAGAAATGTTGGCGACCTAAGTTGGGCTAACTTGACGGGCGACGCCATATTTGACGGATTTAATAGGTCATGTGCGACACTTTTGCCTATAGATTCCCATATACCGTATTCTACATTAATAACTCGTGCAGCCACTTGCGAACCCTAGAATCACCGGTACGTCAAAGTGAGGTAACGTCGTGAGCTAGCAGAGCGTTCATCAGCCTCTGGCAGGGTGTCGATGACCTTCCATTTCCTGGATTTTTTTTTCCACATTATGTTGTACAGGTTTGATAAAAGAAAGTTTACTCATCTGACCGAAAAAAAATAAGAGAGCACAAACAGGTGTAGCGACGTCTCTTCGCAGATCACGCAACTTCGCCACACCTGTCTGCAACTCTTCGAACGGAGTGTGGTTGCTACCCTGTTCCATCTCGGTCTCTCTTCGAAAGAAGTCTGGCGTTTCAGCACGGTGTGTTTTGACGGCAAACTGTTTGAGCAGGAACTGTAAAGGCGGACGGATTTCGCTTTGTTCTTTTTTTTTCGCTTTTGATTCCGCTCTCTGTGTACAACACACTCGTCTATTTGACTTTGTTTCGAGGCGTTTGTGAAATGGAAACGAAACAATCGAAACGAGGTCGTCGTCGTCGTAGCATTTCTTCTTATTTTTATGTTTTGGCGGGAAATTCTGGGGCACGCGTTCTCGCCAAAGAACACTTTCGACGGAGCTTTTGTTTTGCGAGCGAGCATCATCCGGAGCATATTCCGTATTATTAGCACGCTGTTGATGTGCACAGATATATTTTGCCTGTACCAACTATCTTGCACATTAAGATATCCGGAGTGCCTACTTTCTTGCAAAGCCCTTCGGGGAGCCAGTCGGTGTAATCAATAGAGAGAGCTCACTAAAGACAAAGCTAAACAATATTTTTAGGCTTAAGAAGAAAAAAAAAAAAAAGTCTGCGTCGTGGCATCGAGCATGGTGCTTTACGGGAAAGTATGGAGACGGAAATATCCCAACTCAGAAGTTGGGAAGTTGCAAAGTTCAACAAGAAGCAACGAAGTTCAATAAGCTATCTTGCATCTTTGTACAACCTCCAAAGGTAAATAGGTTTGCAGTTAAACGCACACTCATTTGCCCATGCACGTACACACGCACGCACGCACGCACAGAAAATGTTCATTTCATAAGCTGACCTTTTGCTCAAGACATCTGTAGAACCAATGTAATTTTTGAGTTGCTGGACTACGTCGACGCGTCAAGGAACAGTGATTGTTTCATAGGCCATTACGAAGTCGATGAAGTCCAACGTGAGACAGTGGAAGATACACGCCAGGAGATACCTTTCGAAACTTTTTGGTTCCTGACAACGTGTCCTCCTGGACACGCTATAGAAGTGACAGCGATATCTAATCGGTCAACCTAAAGCTGCTAAATAGGCCACGCTTCGGAGTAACGACATTTCAGCCATCTTGGTGCTTAAAATCATTGTTGCCAGTTGCCTCAAAATTTAGCTAAAATGGTAGGGAATGGTTTTCTTTCCTCCATAAATCTTGAAACAGTCCGCGACAGAGCAAAAACACGATTAGGGAGTTTTAGTAGATCGTTACGATGACTCCGATAACGACACCCGATACTCCACCGGCGCCGTTGCGCATGCATCGTATCGTTATCGGGTGCCGCTATCAAACGTATCGGAACGATTTACTAAAACTTTCTATTGCCTGAGCTTTCTGACACCATATCTAAAGCTCAAGAAGTCGCATTGTAGAATCGTAACAATCGCCCCATTGCGGTTTCTCTACACTAAACCCAAATTGACGCCGCCCGCAAGGAAATCTGGATATGGAGCGGCGATATTCTTTGTTTAGCGTATTCGGTTGGCCTACCTTCTTCGGGGCTTCGCATCGCTATCATCTGAGTCCGTGCTCTTGTCCTATCTGCAGGGAATGCACAATGACGACCTCCGGCAGACATTTGCACTTAACAGACGTAATTGCGACAGACTTGCAGAGCTTTTCTTTTGACAGCATGTTCACCTATACACTCTAGACCTGACGGTGATCTAAAATCGGTTAACCGACGGTGTTCGTTGGCCTGCTGTTGACCTGTCCTCGCATTGCTAACCTATCCGTACGTCCTCCTGTCCTGCCTGCAATGGCGACATCCAGCAGACATTCTTACCCTGTAGACATAGTAGCACGCAGAAGACATAGAGCAGGCTTGTCTGACTTTTGTCGAAAACGTGTCCACCTGGACACGTTAGAACTGGCGGTGAACGGTGTAGTTGGCCTGCCTTTTTTGTCGTCCTTATATCGCTAACCTCTGCGTCTGCCCTCTTGTACCGTCTGCAGGACATGCACAATGGCGACCTCCAGCTGACCAACGACCTATCCGCTGCCACCGAGGACGAGACCATGGAGTCCCTAACGGACAACACGGCCGTTGGAGCCCCTCCGCCCTCTCACGAGGCCCTAGCGGGCGTCGTGAACCTCGCCTACGTCGCCAACCGGGATCAGACGGATGCCAAACCGGAGCAACGCCATTTACAGAACTGCAACGACCAGAAGCCCCCTGTCCTGGACAGGAACCACGATGACGCCCGCAATCAGAACCACAGGTAATTTGGGAGATTTTCCATTGTGCTATTCACTTGGACATTAATTTAATTGGTTTTAGGTGTTGTATGGTGTTTTATTTTGTTCATCGTATATCGTATATTGACAAACATTAATCCACTAGTCGAAAGAAATAAGAGAAGTCTCTTTGGACTACTGGTCATCAAAGTTTAGCATCAACAACGACGGCTTAGAAAAATATTTGTCCACAGTTTACAGAATTTGCATGGAAAATAGTTTACAAAGGCTATATGTATTCAAAAAAAATATATCCACTTTTCTACCCACTGTTTATAGCTTTTTGGCAGTTTTTTTTTTCTGTGAACTTTTTATAGAACTTGGTGTATAGAGATTGAACAGAAGTTGTATAGAAATTGTATACAAAACATATAGAGATTTTGGTTACGCTTCTGTCCCCTTTCTAACAACAATAAGTCAGGTTTTAGCGGGAAAAAAATCGGAATATTCATTTTAAGTTTTTCACGATACACCCATGGGTACTCGCCGCTTGCCGTGTGCACATACGGAGACACACAAATACACACGTCAATGAGCACTTATAACAGTAGTAATTTAGTTGTGTTGACTGCTCCACAGCTGTGTATACGATGCCTACACTTGAAAGGCGATCCATTGACGAGGACCACCCCAGAGGATAAATCGATTACAAGAATGTTACTTTCCGCGCACATAAATTATACGAAATATGTTTTATAATAAGGGTTGGTGAACTGCAGCATTAACTATAAATCATTGCAAGAGGCGATAATTACATGACATAGTTGAAAAAACCAGCCTCCTCGAGGAGGCTCCAACTGGGTGTGATGTCGCTCCTCCGCACAGCATCTTATTATTCTATCAATTCTAGTCTAAAGAAATTCTAGAGAAATACGATGACAGAAAGTCTATTGAGACGTGGTGATAGATATGCGCTATTCGATAGTGAAACTTCTGCAATACTTAGGTTGATTGTTCTTTGTCATCAGTACTCATTTGTTGCAATAATGTTTATACGGAGAGAAAAGAAAGGAGAGGAGGAGGAGAAAACGCAGGGTCTTGCGTTCGAACGACGAACGCCAGACCCTGCTCGAGGAGTAGATAAAGCTTTTGTTCGCTCTGTTTGGACGGAGGCGGTGCACGGTGGAGACAAAGTTTGGACGGAGACAGCATAGCCTATGCGTCCAGCCATTATCCTTTCGATCAGAGCTTGTCACTCTGGCGTCACTGGACGCACTCATTTCCTCCTTTCCTTCAGCGGCTCTCCGCATAAAAATAATGATTTTCCTATTTGGCTTATATAATTTTCTGAACCATCTCCTCATAGAGTTGCCTGAGTAGAATCTTGCATGAGGAGCCCTTTCCGGATGACCATGATGCTCTTCACGCTAATCCTGGCCATAACCTCGTGTCGCCTTGTTAGTGTGCTTTAGGTGCTGGCAGTAAGAGAGAAGGAAGAATGTCTTGTATCTTGAAAGGGTTCACCCGCTTTAAATGTGTACCCTTGAGGTAAGAGGGAGAGCCTTGTATAGGGTCAGGGGGGGTCAGGGGGGTTAGGGCTATCAGCGAAATCCAAATGAAACGATGGGCTAACGTCTCCTGGTGTAGTAGTGCATGAGGGTGTCAAGTGCGGCCTTTTTTTTATGACGTGTGGTGGCGGTGAGAGAAATCGCGTAAATTCAGCATCTTTCCGTCTCTCCGACGTAATTCGCAGGTCGACGCCGGCCACGCGGAAGGCCCCCGCGCACAACGCCCAGAAGAGTCTGGAGGAGGAGAAGAACGCCGTGAACCAGGCGCACAACGGCAAGATCCTCAACCATCACCACAACCACAGCAACCATCACCACCAGATCCAGATCCCCGACGACGCGGTGATCAACTACGACACGGCGAGGCTTCGAAAGTCCTTGCATCGCGGCGACAAGGCCGACATGGTGGCCCTGGACGTCTTCGCGGACTCCACCAAAGCCCAGGAGGCGCTCATGTGCGTGGCCAACGGCGGCGCCGGCAGCGGAGGAGCTCACCCTCAGGCCGTTCCCGTTTCTAGTCCCTTGACGAGCTGCAGCGCCGACAACGGAACCAAGATGTTCGAGGAGTACTTCATTCCCGTCAACACGCACAAAAAGTTCCTCCGGTAAGCTGCCGCTCTGTCGGTAGCCCAATTTTCTAAGCTATGCTGTAGTAAAGGCCCCATTCACACAGTAGGTGGTTTACGTCGAGACACGGCGGCGAGTTACCACGGCGACCAATCGTTGCGTCGCTTCGCTGCCCCGCAGTCGTATCTCGTCGAGCGTAAAACGCCGTCAGAGTTCGTTGCAGTTCTGACGCAGCCGACGCTACGGGCTGATGGTGCTGATCAGACAGCATATCAAAAGTGCACCACCGTTGGGGTCGACATGTGAAACGCTAATTTAAGGCAGAGGCTCTAGCCAACAGCTTTGACAGCGTTGCACACTGGAGTATAACCGTATAAGTGTCTCACGACTGATGGATCCTGGACTGTCGGAAACGAAGCGACGCAAAAAGCGAGGAAGTTGACAACGTTAGAAACGTTAATAACACACGCACTAAAAGGATACACGAATGGTGATTAAATTTGAAGGAGTCTTCTTCGTTTTTCTTTTTCTCTCGTTCGTCGTAACCACAATGGGTTTCCTGAAAGCTCCGACTTCCTGTCTGTCTTCGCAACTAATGCATCTCGATGCGCTGGCCAAGCCGTCTGTACTGAACTGTTTTATTCGTTGCCGGGTTTGTCCCACGGCCGTCTCTTTTCTCTGTAACTGTGCGCGTAATGCGTCAGGAGACGAGACATTCGATACGTCTGGTCGACGGTCAACAAACCACTCCGCTTTTTCCTTTTTTTTTTTTTTTTTTTTTTTTTTTTTTTTTTTTTACGGCTAGCGCGGATAATTCCCGCGAGAACAATAAGAATGGGGTATATCTAGGTGTACGTCTTCCTGTAGTTTATTTTTTGCGCACTTCGGACAGCGTTATTCCTTTTGTTTTTGTAGCTTATTTTTATCGCTAATTTCGCGTTCATCGTATTTCACTTCTGTTAAATTACAAATTCTCCGCAGTCCAGCGTTTATCGAAATTCAATTTTGTTATATTACCAGTACGTCAGAAATATGAATGAAAAGAAATCTAATGTCCGCACTAAACTCAGTTTAATTGTGTGCAAAGTTTACTAGAACGTAGCACTATATGCAAGGTGTTTTTCTTTTTTTTGTTTTAGTGATTAAACATTTTGAAGGGAAAACTTACGTGAGGGTATTTTTCTGCGTTGGGGCTACGTTGGGTTGCCATGGGGTGCCTCAAGAAAACAGTTTTACATACCTTCCTTTCTTTTAGCACAATGTAGCTTGGGGATAGCCGTTCGACCTCATTGCAGTTTTATCCGTGTTTTTTTGTTTTTTTTATTGCAACGTTCGTAGAGAGCGTTACGGGGCGAGAACTCACATCATCGTACTGCGCTTCAAACCGAAACTAACCGCAGGGCTCTGGTGGCGTCGATCTCTCGGTTCTGCACCTACGTCGCACTGCTGGCGCCACCTGCGGCGCAGAACCGGCTGAAGACGGAGGGATGAACTTCACCCGGGCGCGCTTCGCCGGTTAGCTTTGGTTTGAAGCCGTGTAGGAGGACATTTCCCGCCCCGCAGCGCCCACTACGATTTTTTTTAATAAAACTTTCACGCCAAGGATGGCCCTATTGAGATCGAGCATCCATTGGCCAGCAACGTTATACGTTGATATGTAAGAACTTAAACAGAGTAATCAGAACAGTTTAGTTAATTACGCTGAGTAATTAACCAATTTGACCTCTTTTATAGTGGTCCCCAAAACCGCCAACCTAGCCCCAGGGTTAAAAGAGCCCTGACGCTGGTTCCTTTTCTTTTTTTTTCCTCTTAGAAATAGTTGTCTGAACTGGATTAGCGTTTGTTTGAATACATTCAAGAATATACTCGACAAGGTTTTTATGCCCCTTTTGGACGTTTTCGCTGGAGACAGGAAGAGCTTTGAGCTCCAGCGTGGGCTGCGAGAGCATTGGCACTTGCACTGGTCAGGCTCGCACGATGAAAACAAACAAGGGTTGAACGAGCCACAATGGTGGTAGTCAGAGTCGTTATAAACAACTCGAAGAATAAACTTTCCGGAGGCCTCTTTGTGACAGCGGACATTTCTAGAAAATAAAGTCACTCTCTTTGGGGATTTCATAGTAAACGTCGTTTCCTTTTCGAGACGAATGTAGAAAAGTACAGCTCTGCGGGAGAAGAAATATTAATAATAAAAAAGAAAAGTAGTTTGCTAAAAGTAGGGCTGACGTAAGCAGTGACAGCTTAAATACAGTGGGTGCTTGGACGTTACCTCACGCCAACGACAAAAGATAAGTTGCGGTTTTGTGTGACGGGGACGGCGGATGACGGGAGCGGCCTTGACAGAGAAGGCTCCACTCCGCTGCCCAGCCCAGCTGCAGTCTTACGAATCGCCACCCGTTTCGAAGGCCGCACAGAGTGACCTCGTGTAATACTTATGCAAACTTTACTGGCAATTGTTGCAACGTTGTCGAACGTTCTGACTTGGAGTTGGCGGTTGACCCGTGCGTAAAGGACTCGTAAGCCGCCTGAGGAAGTCTTGTTTTCAATGGACAACACTTTATATGTTGGGTCCTAGCATGCCATGAGCGTGATCTGGCATCGAGTAGTCCGAGAAACAAAAACAAAAATAAAAATAAAAGTACTCGGGCCGGTAAAAACGAAAAGGGAACACTGGTTCGACGCAGTGTTTGACGGGGAGTTTTGGTGAGTCGTTTCCCAAGTCTCGGGACCAACCCGTCTCCGCGCTTCATGGCGACCTTCAAAGTGGCGCTGGCAGCTCCAAATACCAATGTTGTTCTAGAAAAAAAAAAAAACGATCTGCTAAACCTTTTCAATGTGAAATGTGGTTTATCATAATATGAAACACTGAGCGGATATGGCTGTATCTATATTAAACGCAGCTGGACTAAAGATTTGAATCGATCCCTTTGCGTCACGTTGTTTCACTTATCTCCGCAGTTCTTCAGCGAAACGCTCGAACCCATTTTAGAACGTTCCTGCTGCTGTCTACGTTTGAAACGGATGTCCTTTATATGCGGCGCAGTTCCTGTTCTAATTCCTTTTAATCAGTGCTGTGTCTGGATCCGTTCTCGTTGCAGAGGCGAAAAACTGTATTTAACGAAAGAGAAGAGAAAAGTGTGCTCCGGTTGGAAGCGAATGTTTTTCTGCTGCCTGCTCCTGGTGATCCTAGGCATCGCTCTTCTAGTGGGTGTACTGGCAGCAAGTGAGTACACAAACATTTCTCAGCCTATCCACCGATGCCTTCCTTCGGCGAGGTTTCGAATTTCGCGGGCTCGAACCAAACTGGCAAGAACACTGTTTGTCTCGCAGGAAGTCTTTCAGCTGGCTCAATATGTAACTTCGACTTAAATCTCAATTTCGCGAAGTCCGAATTATTTCTTAACTGAAAACAAATTCAGGCCCTTTATCAAAAATAGTATATTCTTCAGATTTCAGTTGGGTTAGAATAATTTTACCAAGTACAACTTCTTTCTCTTTTTTTAACTTTAATTCTCAAATTGTGCGAGGTTTTCATTCGTGCTGAACGGCACTTCTTAGTCTGAATGACGGGCCAGGTTCTTGAGAGTGTGTGTGTGTGTGTGTGCGTGTGCGTGCGCGTGCGTGCGTGCGTGCGTGCGTGCGTGCGTGTGTGTGTGTGTGTGTGTGTGTGTGTGTGTGTGTGTGTGTGTGTGTGTGTGTGTGTGTGTGTGTGTGTGTGTGTGTGTGTGTGTGTGTGCGTGTGTGTGTTAGAGCTTCTATTTGGCTCATTATGCATTTCTTTTTTAATCGATTCGAGTGGAAGATGTTGTAAGCGTTTAGCATCTACTTAAAAAGCAAAGTGAAGTCAGTTGCAATCTTCTGTTGCCTCCGGGTTTTGAAGCTAAACCGTTACTTCGAAGACTGACAGATAATCAAACTTATCAAACTTGTCTGAGCCGAACAGAAGCTTTCAGCTTTAGTTTGCTCGTGAGTTTTAGCTAAAGGCCTGCTTCTACTGTGCGAACAGCCCGACAAACACTGTTTGCAGACATGTACTTAATTGTTTTTATTCTCATCATCAAATAACAAAAAAAAAACAAAAAAAAAACATGTGAGCGGTCAGTGCCAATTACAACCGCACCGGTTGGCAAAACGCCGTCGTTGTTCGTCGCCGGACGAACATCAGTGGTTGTCGCAATAGTGGGACTGGGCTCATAACTAGGGTTCTTTGTTTTGGAGGGTTATTTTTCCCCCATGAATTCGTTATCTTGCAACGTCCGTTATCTTGCAACGTCCATTTTTGGTAAAGTTGAGGTTTGGGCTACTTGGTATGACATACTCGAGAATCAAAAACAGCGCAAATGAGGAGGGACCAGATGAGGAAATACGCAGACACAGCTCTGTGTTTGTGTATTTCTTCGTATAGTCACTCGTCCTTTGCGCTGTTTAATTCCACTTTGGTGTTGAAAAAAAAACAAAAAAACAATCGGCATTTGTCAGAACTTATGTTAAAGAAAACAGGACACCTGCGCAGGACTCCCCAAGCTCCAGGGAGCATGTGTAGGGCCTGAACACTTGGAAAAGGTCCCGGCTACCGATAAGAGAAGAGAACAAGACAAAAAAGCGTGGTTCCTGAAAAAAAAAACAAAAAAAACAGTATTATTCTTGCGGACAGTTTAGTGCTGGCTGTGTTCTAGACTTACACAAAAGAAAACTGTAGACAAGGATTTTTTTGTTTCCTTTCTTGAAGTTTATGTTTTTTACTCAAGAGCTGCTCCGATCCGTGTCGTTTGTTTTTGCCCCCCGATGTTGATACAACCGGCTAGGAGATTACCTTTCAGGGTTTGTCGGTTCATACCGCAAACAACAGAACCCTAATCCTAAGCAATGCACCGGCATGTTTGCGACGCAATTTACAGTCCCCGTCCTGTTTCAGTTAGTCATGTCTTGTTTCCTCTCATTGTTTTCCGCTCTTTTTGTCGCACGTTGTTCTTGCGCAATGTATCTCGTTTGTGTGAGCATTACCTGTCCCCACCCGCTCATTATTTCATGTTCACGGGTAGCCTAACGGCGCCTGTAATGACCGTTATTCGACATAAGTGTTTTCGCGCTCGGAAGCTGTGCATTCGTGCGTTGCCAGTCTCTGAACGAGTGTCCGGCAAAAACTTTGCGTGAGCTTTAATACAGTCATTATCGACTGCGTAATTCAGTTAAACGTTCGTGTGTGTGTGTGTGTGTGTGTGTGTGTGTGTGTGTGTGTGTGTGTGTGTGTGTGTGTGTGTGTGTATTTGCGCGTGCGCGCGCGCGTGTGTCTGCGTCTGTGTGTGTGTGTATTTGTATGTGTTATTTTCTTTCTCACTAGGAACAAAGCTTGTCAGTGTAAACGTGTTTATTAATTCCACATTCAGCAGCGCCCAATCGTTCGACGAGCCTGGGCACTGACCAATCACAGGCACGGCTCTTTCTGAACCAAAGGGCGCCGTGCTTGTTAGGCTATCGTATTCCGTTAATCTCGTAACTTTACACTGATGTGTCGCATACGTACTGATGATGGTTCGGGTTGAAGATGCTATGCCGGACTTTCTGAGCTGTGACACGCCAACAGTGTCTCGTTTCGTACTACTGGCGCCACGTAACATGCGTTTAAGGGAGCAACGAGCGAGAAGCGAGGGTGTCACAGTGATCCCAGTTTGGACCTAGCAGTACACTGTAATGAAATGCCGTTTCGCTGCAATGCGCTGCAATTGGGCATCCAGTGTTTACGACAGCTCCTTCTGCGTGACGCTGGCATTTCGAAACAGCCAAAGTTCCTATAGTATAAATGCCCTTCAATGTGCTGGCGACATTCTTTACGAAATTTAATAGCATTACGTTGCAGGCTTGAAGAACAACATCGTAGCTTAGCAGAACGACCTTTAAAGCACCGTTTTATTCTCAGAGAATGAGCTTCGCCATGCGTGTTAGTTGCCGCGTGTAAAAGACGGAGCGAAGTATCAAGGCGCCTCAGGAGCGGCGACTGCTCCTTTTACAGCTGATCAAATCCGGCATGGTGCATCCACTAAACTTTTACTCAGTGCGTCCCGCGGTACCGGACACACTAGTGACAAATACCCGTCTGGTTCGTTCCCGTTCTCCGCAGCTGGGTTCCTGCTGAGTGAATCTAAGTCCTCTCCAAAGTCCGTGGTCCGCGTGGACCCCAGCTCTCCGAGCATGTCCGCCTCGACGCTCAAGGGCGCACCCCAGCCAAAAGAAACAAATGCCCCTCCTCGGAAACCTCCTCCGCCGTCACCTCCTGTCATGGTCGTTCCTCCGGTAGCCCAGACCACACGACCCCCTCCCCGTCCCACCACTACAACACCCACTACCACCACCGCCACCCCTTCGACGACGACTCCGACCACACCTGCCACCACTACCACATCTACAACGACATCAACCGCCGTGCCTGTCACCACAGTGCCCTCCATCACCGCAGCACCTTCCAGCACTACCACCTCCACCCCAGTCACGACAACGACAGAGTCCACTATCGCTTCCTCCGCCGCTACAACTGTTCAAATGGCAACAAGTGCGGCAACCACAACGGACAAGATGCTTTCAAGGTCGGAGTTGGCCGAGATGGACCCAGTGTCGACTACGACGACTGAATCGACGTCGGTATCGACTCTGCTGGGTGTGTCGTCTGCAACAACGACGGAGTCGTCTGATGATTTTTCTCTTACGACGATACCATCGTCCGATACGTTGGCGGTGGCGTTTGAAACGACGACAATGTCGTCTGATACGGCGACGACCGCTCCCGAACCAACAACATTGTCACCTAATGTGGCGGCGGTCTTGCTTGATGCCACAACGGTCCTGCCCGATACGACAATAACGTCGTCGCCTAATGCAACAGAGACGTACACTACAACAACGGAACCATCGGTTGCGACCACGGTATCGGAAACAGGGTCGTCGGCTACAACGACAGAATCGTCGGCTACCACCACCTTGTCGTCTGCGCTGCCATCGGAGCAAACGACAGGTACACCAACCGTGAACGACGATACGACGACCAATATGATGGGAACAGAGACACCGACAACCAGCCCCGAGTGGCGGATGCCTTCTGGTCTCTTGCCGGTTTCAGGTGAGATTCCGCAGTTTGTCTGCGCATTTATTCATCCGCGAGTCAGCATTGCGGGCTAGTCTCCAACCATGATCCTTCCAACCAGAGCTCAGTGTTCTGTCGTCCCTCGCGCTCTCGTCTCCTTCTCTTTTTCAGTCTCTCGGGGCATATCACCTGTAGGCGATCTCTCTCAGTCGTTCGCAGTGATTGGTTGTCGACGTCTTCGTGTTCTAGTAAATACAGCCTCTGTTACTCATTTTTAATAGAGACCCTCTACTACTCCAAGTGCTTTGCAAGAAAGTAGACGCGCACACATTTTCCTTTTCCTTAAGTAATATGGCGGGAAAATAAACAGCATTTGATCAAGCAGCGACCCATAGCTTCCCATGAATCAACTAATAGAGCGATACTGGTCGCCGTTTATCTATAAAAAAATATTAGTTGTATGTATAATGCCTTCATCAGAAAAAGAGGGCAACAGTATTTGAGTCAGAGGCTGACTAAATGTTTTGAGCAGCTAAAGGGCTGTTTATACTCCGACGTTGAGCGCAGTGAACGCAGCGTAGCGCAGAACGCGCGCCTTTCATTGGCCGGAAACCAAAAACTTGATATCTGCGACCAATCAGTATCTGTGCGCGCTGCGCTACGCCGCGCCCGTCGACGTTACGTTGGAGTATAAACGTACCTTAACTCTGCTTGTTAGGTGGTTAGTTGTCAATATGCTGTTTTCAGAGCAGGGTGTTTCCTGATCTTATACGAGTCGACAATTACTTTTTGTGACATACAGGATTTAGTTAGAACATGGTACTCGTAGCAGCAGAATACAGTGGAAAACAAACTGCGCTTCATTATGCTTGCTTGTTATCGCTAGTCCTTACAGACGCTGTACTGAATCAAACGATTTTCACGGAAATTTTGTTCGTAGCTTTTACCTTTAAATCGCGCGTGCCGAAACATGAGATACAGTTTGTGTGCAGGCGAGCTGGTGGAAGTTTATCATATCGATGTTAACCTGCCCCAGTCTCGAGCTGATATGATGTATGGCGGATATAGTAAAAAAAAGTAGCGGATAACAATGGAAATGTCCTTAAAGGCCGAACAGGTTGTCATAAACGTGTTTCGGCATCACTTTTTCTTTTTGTAATTTATTTTTATTGCGGTCAGAATTTCACGAAAGGCAGCGTTCTCAAAGCTGGTTCTAATGCGTCGGCAACTTGTGGATTTTTATGGTGAGAGCTAGAATCGCGTAATTACGACATTTTAGCGATTTTGACATGCGTTGTGGTTTGTGTTTTTATTTTCTTTGCAGTGCCAAACGCCGTTCTAGGAGAGCTCACGCTTCCAGACGAAATTTTCAAAGATTCTCTCAACAACATCTCATCCTCCGAAGCGAAATCCCTCACGAACGAGTTAAAGGACGGGGTATGTATTGTTTAGCAAACACCCCTAGCCTCCGATGTCCCAAACCAGGGACCCTAGACTCGCCAAAGACAAGATTTGGGCCCAAGTTAACGGAGCGTGCCGACTGGGACGCTCCGTTAACTAAGTCTAGAGCCGCAGCATTCTTGAGGTGTGAATCATGCCCACTCCTCGAAGCAAGGTAGCCAACGCTACGAGGTAAATGGGACCAATCAGGCAGTGAGTCGGCGCTCGTGCTCTCGCAGTGAGAACACGAGCGCCGACTCAGCAGTCGTGTCCTTCCCGCATTGGCTTTCGTTAGAGGACACCGACAAGGAGGTGTCGACTGAACTTACATACGGCGAATTCATCACCGAGTTGCGTCATAAGTAAGAATATTCCTGTTTTTTTTTTAGTTTTTTTTTATTTAACTTGCGTTTGGGGTTTTAGAGCGGCGACAGTTCAAGACGTATATCTAAGCGAAGCATCCAATCCGGATGTAGCGTCAAATTTCAGCGCTGCCCCAGCACATACCAGTCTTGTACACGCTAGTCGAAAAAAAAAACATTAATCGATTAAAATTACAATTAAATTTGGACGGAACATATTTAATTAGATCGCTCGATTACTTAAGAAAAGTAATTGGCCGTTACTTGAATAAAACGAGTTCGTTACTTTTCCAATTACTTTCGGATTTTTAAGACGACAGATTATTCTGCCAGTTCCAATACTGGTCTTCCGTACTGTCCAGCGTTGGATTAGAATCGCCGAATTATGAACCGCTTGCATCAATTATCCACAAATTTTGGTAGTAAGTTGGTTCGAGGATTCCTTCGTAGGAATCTTGCAGGAATAAATGGCGCCGAAAAAAAAAATAGTAATGGTTACGAGCAATTTTAGTACTTCCCAAAAGTAATCAGATCACTCTCGCGCTTTCTTCCTACATACTCCAAAAAGTAATCGATTACGAGTAATTTTATTAATTTTTATGAGTACCGTGTACAAGCCTGGCCCATGCTCGAACCGTTTGAAAACTTTCGCACTTTCTTTTATTATCTACTTTATTATCTCGAGGAAAATATGCGCGTTAATTTTACGGTGGAATTTGACATCTCTCTTACGGGGGCGATCCAAACGCTAAAATAATTTCACATCTTTTTTTTTTTCTTCACAGATTGAAGGTATTCTCAGAAAAGGCGGCTATCGATTTGAAACGATAGACATCTTGAAATACAGGTACGTCATCCCGTCGTCACTTGTCTATTACCTCGAACCTTTCCCTTTTAGCCCCGCGTTCGTTTCGAGCCGACCGTCTTTTAGACGACGGCACCGCGGTGGCCTCAGTCGAGCGCTTGGCTCGACCAATACCGCCGACGAGGCTCGCGCGCGACATCATCGTTGGTGGCTCCCCGACACACCCCGAGTGGCAAAACACGTCGAAGCACCGCGAGAATCGTCGTAAAGCGACAAACGCGTCCATCTTGGCGTTGCCGCGTACTTGGCGTCGTGACTCTCGACTGACTCCATGGCTCGACTCAGCCATGAAGATCGCATATACTCCCCATTAATCCATTAACTTAGTCGATTAATCGGTTTCGTTCATTCCTATGCACAATAGTTTCTAAAAAAAGTTTTTTTTTTTCGAATCTGTGATAAATAGCGCACGCTCGCCCGCCCCCATCCCGCCCGTCGTTGTGCCGAGAATCACGTGACCTCTCGCACCACGTGATGGCCATGTACTTGGCGGCCCGAGGCCAATGTTGCCGGACGGAGCCGAACTTTCGGTTTCGATTTCCGCTCGTGTTTAAAATTAGATTTAAAAATATATATCCCATTTTTCGCGAAGCAAAAGACGTAGTGTCTTTTACTATGGCTTTTTAATTCGAAATCACTCATTATCCCGAAATCTTCGGAATTGAGCGGAGTTGCCCTTTAAAGGGAAACTGAAGCGGTTCTCTATTTGAGAAAAAACATTTCAATGGCCTTCATTCTACCTCCAGGATCAGGAATATCAAGATTATTTTTCAATTTGCTGCACGGTGGCTTCAGAAATTAATTTTTAAAGTACCGCCGAAGCCCCTCCTTCCCGGGGCGTGGCGTCACACTAGGAGCGTTCGGAATATCTGCTCTCGCGCATCTTCAGCGCCTGTCAAAGCTATGCACGCGCACTCTTGCTATTTTCAAAAAGGTCAGAAAGAGACGTCACGACTGGTGTCAGTGCGGGGAAATATACCTGGCAAGCTTGCCGTTGCACGCGCTGAACACACGAGCGACACGCGCTTGGAGGCCCGAAGATCCTAGTATGACGTCACGACTGGTCGAATGTTTTTTCGCTTTTTCTCGCTTTTAGTTGCATCTTCGGGGAAAACAAAAGTAATATTCAGATTCACGGGATAAAAATACGCCAGAATTCACCTCTAACTCGTTTTTTTCAAGAAGTGTTTCAGCTTCCCTTTAAGTGGCTGGGACACGTGTAACGTTCTCCACTTGTTGGAAGTTACAAATCTTGACCCTACAGTTTGCTTCGGGTCAAACGTTCACCTAAAGTTTGCCTTCATACAGGCGTACACTCGTCCACGTCTCCCTAGTGAAAGCGTTAAATTTTGAGAGTTTTTTTTTTTTTTTTTTTTTGTAAAGTTTTTGTTGGTTGAAAAGGTTTAATCGTGATTAAAGCATTAATCGATTAATCGGTAGGCTAATCAATGAAGTGCACAACCCTAGTTTCGGAATCGATCATAGAAGCACCGAATTCCCCCCAAAATATTTGCGACAAAATAAACTTAGCCTGCAAAAAAAAAAAAAAAAACACATGTACGCAATATTTATGTTGCGAGACTCCTGAGTGAGAGGCGACTCGCCAACCCAAAACAAAAAATGCCCCTTCCCCATAAAAAAAAAAAAAATATATATATTGCAAAAATAATTTACGCATCTCCGAACGCTCATTATCCACCCAAAATGCAGATCTAGGGGTCTGAAGCAGATGCCAAATTTTCAGAAATAACTGTTTTCTTATTTAAGAGTTACAAGGGATTTTATGAAATCTATGGGAAAATGGCGGCCTTACAGAACTCTCCAACACATGGGACTGAATGGCGCCAGTTACCGAAAACAGGCGAAATTGAAGACCTATTTTCCCATTGAAATTTTTAAGAAAAGCACTTATAACTCGTGAATAAGTAACGGTTAGCTTTGAAACCTTAAAATCTCGACAGGACCTGTAGCGTGACATTTTGGGCGAAGAATGCGCGTTTGGCCAGGCATAGTTTATTTGTGCAGTGAAACAAACACCAACTTTTTTTCGGCAACATACCCTGTAGAAGCGCGCCACAACTAGCTTCTTTCTTTTATTTTTTTTTTCGTTTTTTTTTTTTGGTGGGGGGGGGGGGGCGTATTTTGTGACATGCGTGTTCTAATCGAACAGCAAAAAAATAAATAAAAGGAGTTCAGTGTTTCTTTACACATGATCTTGTGGGGCGCCGCAGGCGAGGCAGCGTGGTGGTCTCCTTCGTGGTGGTCAGCGGAGACCGATACCTGCCGGCCAACAAGGTGCAGGAGACCATCCGAACGTACGTCGCCAGCAACGGAGGCACTCTGGGCAGCAAGACCGTCGACCTGAACTCGATCGTCGCGCTGGGTGAGCTGCTCCCATCTACTCGTTCATGATGCTGACAGCGGGTGACCGTCACCATTTGTACACACGCGGTAATATAACATCGGTCACAATACAACGTCAGCAGATCCTGCGTTGCGGAAACTAACCATTCAGAAAAACAAGTCTGATTTTTTTTTTCCTCTGTCTGCGCCGTCACTTTTTAAGGTGAGAAAAGACAGAACGAACGCCCCTTGGTGACTCGAGGTACATCCAGCTTGCATAGACTCACCTACAGCTTAAGAAAAGTAGGGCGCAACTTTTCTTAGTTCAGTACTTACTGGCCGAATGAACGTTAATGTCCCACTGTTGAATCCGGCATCACGATATCGGCCCAGTACTCCAATGAAGCGTTTTTGATCTGTATCTACACGCACCCACCAGGCATCTTAGAACCAAAGCCAAAAAGACTGTGGAATTGGCCGATCATAATGCCGAAGAACGAATAGTAAAATGAGAAGCGTAAACATTATACGCTCTGCGTTTCTGAAGCTGTCACGATCTATCGACCTTTCCAGGCGAGAAGATGCCGAGTCCTTGGACTTTGGACGGATGCGTGGCGTTTCGGATTTCGTGGAAGAGGGATACATGCGCATGCGCAAAACGCGTTCCACAGCCCAGTAAACAAAGATGGCAGCGCCCAGTCATTTGCTGTCGACCCCAGCCGCGTGGTTGATAAATCCAATATGCAAAATGGAAAAAAAAAAGAAAAGAAAAAAAAAAAGTGAGGCATTACTTTCTGGAACAAGTAAAAGAATACAGAAAAGGCAAAACAAGAATGACAGAGAGTCGAGATTAAAGCGTGAGCTTCTTCCGGTGGTGTAGTGAGAGAAAAAACGATGGTTTTTCCCGCATACCGGAAGTTCCGGGATTCAAGACACCTATTTACTAAGGGCGCAGCCACCTTCAATGTCGTCACTTCTGAGAAGCGTTAAAACATCGTTTTGAATCTCCATGCCGCTAGAAGGTGTCCACGGAAAATGCACGATTGTCACACATTTTTTGCATCGTACCGGCGTGCGGTCGTGTATCACTACTGTTTGATGCATGTTAAAGACCGCAGGCTAGCGGTTGTACTGCACTGGCTAAATTTCTCATCTACAGCTGGGAGACTCGTCGCCCGTTGGTGCAGACCAAGTTTTAGGCTGTATAAACATACACACAACCTAATTTTTTGTTTTGCCTCACCTGTATTTTCTGGCATATTCCAGGTTAAATTGTCTTATCAATTTTTTCGTTCCGCGTACCAGATATGAAACCCACATGAATGAGAACGAAAAGAAACGAAAACGTCTCAGGACCTCCTTCCACACCCTCATTAGTGCCAGTCACTGTTCCTCCGCGATGCACCAATAGGCTTTCACAAGGTGCAGCCACGAGAGCGTCACGCTGGGGTCACATCACTTGTCATCGCTCCCTGAGCCAACCTTTTCTGGTTGGTTCGCGGAACGATTCGATGACCGTGGCTAATACATAGTGGTATTTATTTGCCACATTCTCGACTTGTAGTCGACCATAGCCTTGCTGACCAAACGCGGCTCGCTGATTGGATGCGGCCGATTGCATCAGCATCCATTCGGGCTATGTTGTCCAATCACTGCGCCTGATGAACCCAAGTGTGCTGACGTGACGTCTCCTTGTATACGTGATGGAGCGTGCATGGGTTTTGTCTTTTCTGGGTCACCCTACCACGCGTAGGTCTCTGCTCTTCGGATCTACCAACTCTTCTGCGAGCGTAGAAGAATTTAAAACATGATGCAACACGTGTCTACTCTAGAACGTAAGCCCCGTCATCCGTGTCATCTCAAGGTCGTCGATAACTGGGCTACAAGGACATCGAGGGAATAAACGCAACGTAGTAATTACGCGTTTCTCGAACCAGGCGGCTTTCCTTGCTTACCATTCTGAGCTACGCACCCATCCCAAGCTTCTCGATTTGCTTGCAGTCACCACGAAACGAGAGGTGTTTTAAGCCCCGTATTAACGGTATCACTTGGTTGCTTCAGACGCGACAAACGAGTGCAAGCTCGACAACGGAGATTGCGTGAAGAGCTCGTGTGAGTGGGACTACCTTAGCGGCAGCAAGTCCTGTGTGTGCTTGCCCGGAACCACCAGGCTCAGCGCGACCGCTTGCACCCTACCAGCCACCGTGCCTCCCGGTGAGCGAACGCAGCTAAATTATACTAACTTATAGCTTCCCCAACCCGATGTAACCCGGCCTTAAAATAGAGAAGTGTTCAATCTGGACACATTCTCTTTACATCCCTTTGCTTTTTCTTCGTCGCTTTGTGTGAGAAAAAGTGTCATTGTAAGTAATGTTTCTCCCCCTCTTTTTCCCCCCCTTTAATTGTTGGATCTGTATAAGCTTTTTGATGTTAATTACATCGACGGTCATCTTCAAGGGCAGAGAAACTATTAAACAAAGAGGCTTTTCTTTGCGACTATTTCTGCGCCGTGTATTTCTGCCCGGAGTTCGCTGCCGTTTTGCGAACAGGTAGTACACATAGAAAGGAAATGGTGTACGCGGTGAACATCAGTCGCGCTGTGATGCGCTAGCACACGATAAATACGACAGCAGTTAATAAAAATCCGCATAGAAAGTGCATTCCGTTTGATCACATGGATATGACCGTTCACCGTGCACTTCTTGGTTTTTATTTTTACGCTGTCCTTGAACGCAAGACAAGCTGCAACAACCTCAGAAATAACTTGCCGAATTCCATCTTTTATTTTGTTCTAAAGCTCAACATACCACTATTTTTGCATTTTGATGACTTATCCTTTTTTTATTTTATATTTTAAGGTGTACCTGCAACAGACGTTGACGAAAGCACGACCTCGCCAACGTTGCCAGAGACAACGAGAGCGGCTCCGACTACCACGAGTTTGACGACTGAGGCTGTTACGACCGCTGACAGGACTTCTACGACCTTACAAGACGCAACGCTCGCCCGAACGGAAACACTCATGACTGATGTCCCTACAACGGCGACGCCTTCGACGACCACGGTCACTGAAGCCACCACCGTCTTTGCAACCACAGAAGTCGCAAATACGTTGCCGGCTTTGACCAAAGAGAACACTGATGGCACAACCACAACTTCTCTTTCGGGCGTCACGACAATAACTACCGATGAAACACTTGTTGTCTTCAACCTTACGACGACCGGAGCCACGACAGATGGATTCGCAACAGAAACATCGACGGCGGTAACAACGATGGTGACGACACCAGGAACCGAGCCAAATTCAACGTTTATGACTGTTGAACCCGTTCCCACGACGTTCGCATCAAACTTTACAACTGTATCTGATCAAGCGACGACGGTGGCTATGTTCATCCCAGAGAACAGTACCAGTGGAGCAGAAAATCCAAGTGAAGGTACCATGTCTAGTGTTTTGGGTTCAACGACCACTGAAGGCAGTGTCTTGAATTTCACTTTGGGATCAGAACTTCAAAACGACACCACAACGTCGGAGATCGATACGACAACAATATTTATAATGACAACTGGTATGAACCTAAATTCAACGGTTGACGTTGTTGAGATGACCACCTCAAACTCTTCTGCGGCCAGCGCCAACGACACTTGGATGACCACGCTGTCTCCTGTGCTTGGAGTGTCGTTCGATGTGAGTACAACTACCGAGAGCAACGCCAACAGCAGCGAAAGCTTCGGAACCATACCTTCGATTATGGTACACTCGCAGGAACCAGCAGCCACCGAGGAACCGACCACAGTGATCAGTTCATCGCTGGCGAATACCACAGCAACCTCCACCGTCAACAGCACGGAAACTGTCACAACCGAAATGTACTCCATCTTCAGAGATACCGGCGAAGACTTTGGAAACAGTACAGACCAGAGCATTGACATGAACTCTACCATGTTGGTTCTCTTCAACTCTACTCTGATGGACACGAACGAGACCATCCTGAATGTCACCGTCTCCTCCACAACCGACTCCCCACTGAACTCAACAGCCGGGCTCGAACTGACAACTCTGTTCAACATGACCGAAAGCACGACGTTGCCGGCGGACCTTACGAACAGGACCGACACCCACCCCATGTTCGGAAATTCGACCATCGACGAGATGGATCCCGAGGTGAACGTGAGCAACCGGACTTACTCCATGGGGAGGAACCTGACCTTTATGAACAACAATACGCTCTCTGATGACGGCGTGGAAGTGGTCAACGGCACTCTCGACGCCTGGAACATGACAGCCAACGGGACCCTACTCAACACTGGAAACTTCTCCTTCTCTGGCGACGACGACATGATGGCTACGGAAGGCGTCAACATGACCCACCACGGAGAGTCCACGATGGACTTCCTCAACGAGACCATAGCCAACACTACGGACGACGTGTTCAGGACCCTTTGCTCTTCCGGTGAGTTTTTTTTTTTTTTCTCTCTCTCTCTTTGTGATGCAGGCTATAGCGCTAGCTGTACACGCTCAGCGCTTGCAGTGCAGAGTCGCACTGGACTTTTTTTTCCAATATGCCTGTGCACATCCTGTGCACATCCCTCGCTAGCAGCATCGTCAGCACCCATGGTGGCACGTAATTCGCCTTCCATAACGATTCTCTTATTTTAGCATCGGTAGCATGGGGCGTAAAAAGCAACGCAAACTGATACAGCTGCACGATGGCAATGAGTTCTAGTGATTTGACTGCCGGAGGCACGTTAAACTGTCTTTTGTAGTTCGCACGCAGCACTCGTGTTCAAGTGGTTCCCGCGTTTTCCTTAGCTACTCCCCCCCCCCCCCCCCCCCCAAAAAAAAAATAAATAAATAAAAATAAATAAATATAGCATTTTAGTTTTGTTATTTAGCAAGTGTTAGCACGCGTACTCTGCGTAGCCTGCGTAGTCGTCGTCCACTTGTCCTTGGATTATTTTTGAGCATATGACCCCTTTTTCGCCATTGAGAAGTTGATGTCGAAAGGAAAAGAAATGAGCTACTCTCGCTCTGCCGTTTACGGACAGGACATCTTTTTGGGATGCCCCTGCCTTCGATGATGCTTGGACTCGTGCTAAAGGCAGGCCATCTACTGCTCTAAACGTGAAGTCACACAGTAAAAACGTATGCGCATGAATGATAAACCGACGTGTTAAGTTGTAAACGTGTGGTTTGTCAGCCCGTAGCAATGCACTATAAGAACAATATTCTCACTTTATGAGCGGAGTTGGTTGTAACAGGTTAAAACGTGTTTTCCCGTTAATAAAAAAAAAAAATCCGTAAAGAAAGCAATATCGTCGATCGGGTGCATATCAAGACCAATGCAAGCATGGTCAATCAAACAACTTTCTGATATAAAAACATTTAATAGTACCCCTTTCTAAAGGACGCGTTCGTCAATTATTGTTTTATGAAAATAAAACAGCTTATTTTCATTAAAGAAAACTACACAAAAAAATTTAATATGGAAACAGTTACAGTATAAATTGGAATTACAAAAAAAAACTTCGTAAAAATAAAATAAAAAAATGGAAGTTGTTTGTGTATGTGGAAATCAAGCCGAAACTGATCCCTGAGCCCCTGCGAATCGCCCGCGCCGTCCGGGTCGTCCGTGCGATGCGCGGATCGAGTTATAGAATACGTGCGCTGTTCTTTGGTCGGGTACACCGATCACAAACCTTTGATCTATTTTGCCGATATTGTTTTGTTTACTCGAGCATGGTTTTATGTTTATTACATCATAAACTGCGAATATTATCATCTCGTATATATAATGTTCTCATCTTGTATACAATGCTATCACATAATCACCATCACTAGACAGAGCATCGCAGGCCTCCGTAGTATGTGCTGTTGCCTTTCTGCGGTGCCGCCGCTCTCCTGAGCTAATAAAGATTATTATTATTCATATTATTATTATATTATTATTATTAGTAGTAGTAGTAGTATTCAGACAATGTCTGCGACTGGAAACCAATAAAACCAATTTAATTTTTGTTTTGTTTGGCGATGGAAGCAATTAGAGAGGCTTCTGTCAAAACGTTCGCGTTCTGGCACAAATCGCACGCAATGCGCGGACGGCGTTCTGTATTCGCGATTCCTCGTTTCTTGAAACGGGCGTGTCTGCGCACACGTATACAGCGTTTCGTTGCCGTGTGTTTTTACCGCGGGTTATGGCGGCTGTGTTTCAGAGGAATTCTTCTGTTCCGCCGAGACGAGCCACACTTGTTTGAAGAAAGAGCTGCTGTGCGACCAGTTTGAAGACTGTCCTGGAGCGTCGGACGAGGAGAACTGTGAGTGCAGTATCATTTCGAATGGCTGCTGTATCCTACGATGGCTCGCGTTCCATCAGGCGTTATATAGAGAATAATCAATAAGCAAACTCTATAGGATGGAAGCTTGGGCGAGTTGGTGAACCATACATCAGCGCGTGTGCTTGTCTTCCTGAGTGTCTGGTATGAGATTGATTTTTCCTGCGCTGTCACCGTCAAGCATACTCTATACTTCGCCCTGTCTTTACGTGGACTGCAATTAAAAGGGTGTACAAGGGCAGGCTGATAGCATTCGCACGTGCTGTCTCGCGCCTCTAGCCGTTGATGCAGTTACAAGGAGTAGTTAGAGCTCCGTTTCTTCGGCTTTTAGCAAATCGCTGTTCGGATAAATCCGACAATAGGCACTTTTAGCAAACCGTTACCGTGCTCCGCGTACCTCACGACCGGAGCCTTTGAAGCATGTCGCTCCCGAGTGATACCGTGACCGCGGTGCGCGCGTTTAAAAGCATGCTTCGAAGGCTCCGCTAGTGCGGTGTGCGGAACACGATAACGGTTTGCTAAAAGTCCCTACTGATACCCGATAACGATGCATTCGGTGGAGTATAGAGTGTTGTTTTAGCGTCTCAATAGAAACTTCTGCCGTCCTAGTATCACAGATTGGTGTGATGACGGCCGTGTGGTACGAACATTTTAATGTGATCACCACCTAAAGGGTGTAGTTCTTTAACTCAGAGCTGTAACGGCACTAAATGATTAAAGCGCGAGGCGGCATGGCTGTTTCTTAGCGACCTTGTGAAGAGGACGAATCGATAGGCTAAGTCCTTTTAGCTGAGTGGTGACTTGTGCCACCAGGCCAGTGATTGTAACTTTCTTAGCGACCGCAGCACTTAGCGGCCACAACATGAAATTTCTGGAAGGGAAAGCGACGGCCCCAGACTGACGGTTCATCCGTAACTCGTACATCATTTGAATCACATAAGCGTACTTGCCCACGTTGAACTGTGATCCTTGAGACCAACGAATGGCGAATAATGTCGGAAAGCTATGTGTTCATAACCCACACACACTCCCGAAAAAGTCGGAGAAATTACGAACAGGAAGATGTCTTCTGAACAGCGTGATGTTCTCCAAACGTGTTTTTATGCCGCCTCCGGCTCCTCGTCGTGTTGCTTCGCCGCAGTACAGCGGTGCTTGGGGGAAAGCTGGTTCTGCAGAGCGAGGTGGTGCACTCAAACGCGGCAAGTATTGAAATAAAAAAGAAAAAAAAGAAAAGCTTTTTAAATGTGAATGTTGCATATGTCTATGTGTTATGACATAGCACTGCAATTACTGTTAAAATGTATAAGTTGAGCTGCAATACTGGATGCACCGGTTGCATTTACAATCTTACAAATCGTGATTTTTTAATTTTTTTTTAAGGGGGGGGGGGGGGGGGGGGGGAGTGTTTTTGCAAGTTTGATGTTTGGTAGGGCTATTCCCCAGATCGCAGATCACATCTTTGGATGTAAGCTTGTCTGGGCACAGTGGATATGTATATGAAAAATATTTTTGGCTTCGCTAGTAAGTAGCTGCAATTCACTGAACCTCACAAATTCAGCCGCTGTTGTTCAATTAAGAAATTATGATAAGAACCCAAACACTGATTGTGTAGCGCCTTAAAAGTATGCCGACATGAAAAATGTGGTTCAGGTGCACCATTGAATGATGAAAACTTTGTTTATAACCTTACAAAAATTGCTCACTTTCAATGCAGTCTTTGGAACTTGCCATTTATACTAAACATTGTTTCACTACTCCGAAGTCATTCCTGTCGTTTTTGGCTCAGCACTTTAAACTACCATTCAAAAGTGCCTATGTTGTGAACTCGATCTATTAATGTCTGTAATCAGCTTCTGTAACTGGGCTCTTTAATCGAAAACGCTGGTGTCACAATTATTGTTCCTAAATTTGTGCTTTTAAGTTGATTTGCACGAGTGGCTCAATGTTTTTAGCTGCGTGGAGTTAAACTGCTTGTCACACCATGAATTCTGCAAGTGGTTACACTTCACTATGTATGAAAATTTTACCGCCATGCAGTCATTACTGAATGATGTGCCTTAATGACCGTAGGTTAGCAGTCATACTGCATTGGCAGGCAAGTTGCCTCCTTTTAACGTGAATTAACTTCAGACTGCCTTTATATAACCATGTTGATTTGAGCAGTGGCACCAGAAAAGGAATCCAAAGATGACATTTTCTTTAGTTGCTCAGGAGCTTAAATCACAGCATTTGCAGTTGTTAAACTTCATGCATGTACTTGAAAGGTACTTTCTACTTTAAGGTACTGTACCTTTCAAGCATGGCACTGCAACCATGGTGCTTGAAAGGCACTGTAGCTTTCAAGTATCTACTTGAAAGGTACTGCTGCAAAATGTATTTTTGACCAGTTCAGAATGTCCTCTAAAATTACTTGGACCGGTTAGATTGCTGCTCTCATTTTGCTTAAGCTTGTGAAGGCATCATTAATTCAAATCCTAGTGCTACCCTCAAAACTTTTCACAAACTCCACGACTCATAAAGGACAATTTCAAGGTAGCAATGGCATGGTGGAACAGGGTGGGGATGTCAATGTTTGGGATGGCATTGAGCATTGAGTACATAGCAATGTCAGGGACTAACCTGCACTAAACGTTTCCTGATGTCTTTATTTGTAGGCACGGAATCGTGCGGAACCAACTTTGAGTGTTCTGATGGTACCTGCGTCATGGCATCGGCGAAGTGTGACGGCATTCGGGACTGCCCCAATGGTGAAGACGAAGAAAGCTGCGGTGAGCCTCCTTGCCATGTTGAGTCATTATGAAAGCAGCGACCCTTGCTTTACCTGCTATCTCTGAAGCAAACTTAACTATTGTTGTAGCAATTTTTGCGAGACAAAACCCTTTGATAACGGTCTTCTTAAAAGAAAATCTTGAATGTGACTTTTGCCGATCAGAATGCTGCACGACTTGCATCACCAGGCTCACAGTGACGACTTTCTGTCCGGCACCGTCAAACTGAGCATATTTTCGACCCCTGGAAGCACCCTTCCATCTTAGGTTCCAGATCGAACTGGTTGTATTTCTATATAAATAAATATAAATTGAGCAAAATTCAGGAAGTCTCGACGTCATTGGTGGAAGCCAAATGATCACCGACCAGTGGAACACTACTAATCACATTTTAGACGTGGTGTCGGCCCCGATAGCCGGCTCTTCATCTTAGACTTTGAACAGACTCCAACAACCTTCTTATATTGATTCCACCACACTTTTTTAATTTTTTTTTAGTTAATTGAATTTTGAATATACAGGTCCCCCGAGACTAAACTTTTAAATCACTTTTCATTATTGCAGTGATTGTAGACACCCAGTGTACTGACCTCGAAGTCATGTGCCCGGACAGCAGTGCCTGCATCAAGCCCCTGAGTCTCTGTGACGGAATCTACAATTGCAGAGACCGCAGCGATGAAAGTGGCTGTGGTGAGTGTACCTGTCACAAAATTGAAACTATATTTGTATTTGTTTGACTCTGCAGGCCAAGGCCAATAGAATCAAATATGTCGTCTATTTGCACATATACTAACAGATAAAGAGAGAGAGGCAGAGAGATAGGGCATGGTCGGCAGTAAATTAAAGGTGGGAAACGCTAGAAACATTATCAAAAGGACGCTAACATAATTGTTTAATTTATTATATATATATTATGTAAATATTTTAAATGTTCATAGATTAGGCTTGCATTCCAAAGTTTTGAATATGTAAGAGTAAATCGGAGCACATTTCAGGCGATGTAACTACTACCGTAAAATACTGAGCAAGCAACGTCTGGAGATAACCATGTAAAACTGGGGGATGGAAGCTCCTTAGGTCAACAATGTGTAACGATTTGCCCTTAGTGTAGCGTTCGAATGTTACGAAGTTTGGGGGGTGGCTGCTCATTGTGGAATGAGCGGATGCTCAGTATTTTACGGCATACTGCTGAAACGTAAGCTTGTTCAATGCAAATGAGACAGCTTCAAAACATAGTGGGGATGGTTGTGTTTTGTGCTTGTCCCTCGTTGATTTTACGTTTGCCAATCATAGTCCGCTTTAGCACAGATCTCAAGAATGTTAAACCAACATGATGTTGTGCTTCATTTAACATTTTAGTTGTATATGGGTGATTTCATCTCAAATCGTACAAAAAGAAATGAATCCTCAAAAAATTCTGAAAAGAAAAAAAAAGATGTTGGTGGAAAATGTGTGATTAAAACAAAGCTTCAAATTATAACTGCGAACGGTTTCTTGTTTTCGAGTTTTGGGCTTCGAAAGTGCAGAGCTGCGTCTTGCCATTTTTGCAGTTTTCACGAGTGACACCATTTGGAGCCTCGAAACTTTTTAGATTCTTTTTTTCACAAGAATTATAACATTTTTTTACTGTTTTTAAGGCTTCGTATTGGTTCAAGTTCTCGAGAAGTGTGTTTTCTTTTTTATTTTATAAAATAACGATTTGTAAATCTTGCACCTTTGACAATAATAGGCCAAGTTTGAATCAAGCTAGCTTTCAATGTACAATTATTTGAGGCGTAAGAAACATATCAAATGAAAGCTTGTATCTAAGCCAATTTAAAAAGTATGCTATCGTGTATTTAGGTATAGTTTATATGGAAGAAACAACGCTGTAAACTTGAGAATAAATGCTAAAAATACAAAATTCGTCATTTAAAAAAAAAATATACATTTTTAGTTTTTATATATTTATATGTTATATTATTTATTTATGCAATACCATTTTTTGACATATATGGTTTCGTCATATTAAGCACTGCGTTTGTAAAAGAAGACATATTTTTACCTCCATTCAAAGTTGAAAAGATATGGGCCGTGACTAAATCTTTTACGTAATTATTATATATATATGCTTGTAACGTGACCATAATATTTATAATATACCTCATGTACCATTTAGTAAAAATTAGGAATGACTATGTTATAATTTAAAAAAAAGTACATGCACATATCCAATTCACTTATAAAATCTTAAGATTCACAACTTTTCTTTAAACTTATTGAAATGTATTTTTATTTAACAAGCATAAAAACTAAGTTTCACAATCCTCTATGTCAAGCGATGAAGGGGTGAGAGAAATTATTTTCAGAAACCTAGTGAACGAAGTGCAAAATTGCGTCTCGTGCGGCCGCATTTTCACGTATCCTGGTGATGCTCATTTAAAACTTCTTGACTTTCTTTTTACTTCAGGCAATAACAAAGGATACAGATAAACGGGGGAAATGCATAACAACACATAGCATTTTTAGTATTATAAGCTCACTGTAATGTTTATGGTGATAAAAGAAAAAGTGTTTTTATATGAGGTTAACATTACTCCTGAGGATTCGCTTTTATTGTTTTTATCACATTTATGACAACCCTGAAAGACACGTCTCTACTTTGAGCATTCATCCACAAGTGGCAGGATTGAGTGTCTTTCACAAGGCTAAAAAAATTCCATTCTTTTTTTACTGCGTTACGGTATTGGGCGAGGCATGCTAATTCACTTTTGAAGAGTACAATTCCAGGCACTTTCAGGGCCACTACTTGAGAAAAATCATCAGCACTTCCAACAGTTCCCATTTCTGGCGAGCTGAGGTTGTGCAAGGAGGCTTGGTGCTTGAGGGCTCTCGCCAAGCCATTACACACACTTTGGACTTGTCCCGTAGCTTAAAAAAAAAATCAATTTGATCCCCTCTTGTCTCTTCGGCATCTCGTACATTTGAAACCTATAATTAACTGACTAGCCTCTCCGTCGGAGATGTGGACACGTTTTGTAAATATCGAAATGTTTTCTTCCAGCCACTCTTCAACTGTGCACAGAGCGCTCATTGCGTGTGCAGTATTGTGGACGATGTCGTCGCTGACAACTCCAAAGCTGTAGATTTCGCGCTCCGTTGTAGCGGCGGAGCTGAAGATAGACACCATTTGGTTCTTCCAATGAAAGCATTGTACCGCTCGCGGAAGAACGACGCTCCAGTTTTTCGCAATATCAGAATGCAGTACGATGGTACGAGCCTTGAGATGCGACTTTTCTGGGCTTATCGCAAGCCGCTGAGCATGCCGGATGGATTAATAACGGAAGTACTTTGTTACGCACTTTCTGAGCTCATTGCAAAATCCCTTATTTCCCATTTGTTTCTTTTAGCAGTTCGCTAGATTCCCACAAAGCTACTTCGATTTATTTGTTTTCCTTCATTGGCAGTGATTCCAGGGTGAAACCCATAGAGTGAAACCACCTCTTTTTGGAAATGGTTCATTAGGACAGAAGGCACCTGCCGGCGTCTTTTGTCCCAATGACCAAGCCTAGCCACTAGCAAGGGCCCCCGCAGCTCGAGCCAGTCTTCCGGTGCTCGCGCGGTGCCTTCGGTCAGCTTGAGTGTTACGGCGTGCATCGTACGCACCTTAGTGGCAGTTATTGTGTTTCATTCTTATTAAATGTACTTCTATTTTATAAGTTGCCCCGCCTCTTCGCTTCAAGCCGTTCAGGACCCACGCCCGACCCCAAGACCTCACACTTTTGCCTTAAATAATTGTACGTACAAAGCTAGCTCGTATCATACGTGGCCCATGTTTGTCAAAGGTGCAAAATTCGAGAATCTTTATTTTATAAAATAAAATAAAAAGAACGCTTCTAGTAACCTTCAACCCTTCTATGTAGGGTATTAAAGGGATACTACAACGAAATTTCGGCGCTCATTTTTTGGTCTAGATGTGTTCAAAAGAGCAGTATCACATGGAACATACCAATATCTTGTTAAAAAAAGTCTCGAAAAGGAATTTTAAAACGAATTAAACGGTTAGCAAAGAGCACCTGGTGGATGTCGCTAACGCCTCGTTTGTAATGCTCGTCTAGGAACCTTGACAGCTAGTGACGGAGGTTGTCTCGTCTCCGGCCACGACGAGCGAAGGGGGGAAGGAGGAACTCCCCTCTTCCCGAGAATCCCTTTTGTGTGTCGCAGAAGTCGCTATTGTCCCCCTAGAAGATTATAGAAGATTAACCCGTCACTCAAAATTCGTACAAAAGCAGCCGCTTCGGTGGCTGGAACGACTAGGCCATCCTCTCGACGTCAGCCTCGCCGTAGCTTTGCTCGTCTTGAGACGACCTACGTCACGATTGCGTTGGATGTCACGTGCTCTAAGCTGGGCCTTCTCCGAGCGCTTGCCAGAGTGGGCCGTTTATAACGAAAAATACAGCCACCAGGATCAAAATACAAACGTGCGATTGTCATTTACGGATATTGTGGATCATATTCAACCTATTTTTGAACACGACGGTAATATTTCAAATTTCGTTGAAGTATCCCTTTAAAACAGTAAAAAAAGGTTATCACTGTTGTGAAAAGGATAATCTAAACGTTGCGAGACTCCAAAATGTGTCACTACGTAAAATCCCGCAAGGGCGCCCTCTCCTGTGAGATCGCCCATCCCGTTTTTCTGGCTATATATCTAAAACATAAAAATTCCGAAATATCGCCCACCCCCTATTCCCGTCGGACACCACGCGACGTCCTACGGTAATCATATCAACTGCGCGATCTGCGGAACCGGCACGTCTAACAGGGGAGTTTATAGCGGGTTCACGGGTTTTTGTCCGTGAACTGCGCACGCGATATTGGTTCATGTGACGTGCAAGTTGATCCCGCGTGTTTATTGCATCGTAAAATGCGACTGTAACAGCATAGCTTGCTGGGCTGGTTGGTTAAACGACATATTACAAAACAAGGGAAAAAAGACGGGACACAAAGTGGAAGAAGGACAGAAGACATACGCTGTCCAGCGTATGTCCTGTGCCTTTCTACTTTGTGTCCCGTCTTTTTTGCGCTGTTTTGTAATATGTCGTAAAATGCGAGTCTGCTGCGTCCTCGATCCATAGTAGTTGTTCCCGTGGCATGCGCGTTCGTAGTGGGTTCCTGCGTTTTTTGTCCGCGATGTGCGCACGCGATGTCGATTCCCGTCGGATAAGAGTTGTCCCGAATGTTTGTTGCACCGTGAAACGCAAATCTGCTGCATCCGCGATTTGCGGCGTTGGTTCCCGTAACATGCGAGTTCGCGGCAGGTTCCCGCGTGACATTCCCACCGTGTACTGTGTTTGCACGATTCTAACGCGCACATTTTTTAGCCAAAATCGGTGCCCAAAACTACATGCGCGGTACAATCGAACAGAAAACCGAAACTCGAGAAAAACGTAATACTCGGTATAAGGTGGCTAGCCCCATCACCATCGTAACCGTTTGTTTACGTTAGCCATTTTGGTTTTCGTGTCGCGCGCGTTTCTCCCGTCTTCGGACTCGTGTCCGCCGTTTTAAGGTGGAAAAAAACAACTAGAGGTTTTATTTACACGAAAGGCTGTCACGCTGGCGGGAAAGATAATAACGGAGTACCACTACGTGGCCTCGCAATCCCAGCGACCCGACGGGCTCGCAAAGTATTGTTTGGACGACGACCCATTCAAAGGCGACGTGCGGGCACCTGTACCTGCGCAAGAAGCGCGACACTTCAAACGCTTCAGACGAGAGCAGGTATCACCTTTGTAGACAGCGAAGAACCATCGTCGGCACGGCGACTAGTGCACGGCATTTATTTTTGTGTTTGGCGTTCGTTTCATAAAATCCTTCTATGAGGTATGTGTTCAATCTTCATTATTTTACCTGTGCAGTAGAATCGGCCGCAGTTTACTTTTTGGATATCTGAAAGCTAAATCTGCTTTCGCGTTAGGATCGGGGGCGCGTTAGAATCGTGCAAACACTAAAGCGAATCTGCTGCGTCCGCAACCCCTTTTACTATGACATGGGAAGTCGTAGCAAATTACCGCGTTGTTTATCACATAATAAAACGCAGATTTGCCGCGTCAACAACCCGCGGCATCAGTTCCCGATTTATGTGGTTCGTAGCGAACAGCCCAGTGTCTTATCGCCGTTTTTTGTTTTTTTTTTTCTTAAAAATTTTTGCTGTTGCATTTTCAAAGATAGGCCACCCCATGTTTTCTCCCAATTTATCTTCATTTTGGGTGGGCGTCCTTACGGGATTTTACGGTAGTGAGAAATGCAAAAATCGCAAACCCTACCTTCTGCCCCTTCAAAGCTCAAAAAAAAAAAAAAATCGGTAGTTCTAAATTGCAGTTTTGTTCTAGTCACATTTTCCACCAACTTTTTCAAGAATTTGTTGAGGACCCATCATTTTTTCTTGCACAATTTGAGATTAAATCGCCCATATATTACTTTGGGTTGTTTCAAAGGTCTGAAAATAAAAAAAAAATAAAAAAACGTAGTGCGCTGCCAATCAACTGCCTGTTAGCAGACGAGTTAGGGTATGTCACACCAGCTCATTCGATTCACGATTCACAACAAACAAATTATTGCACTTTCGGTCCTTCTACATACAGTGGATGTCTCTGTGACAAAAATGATGGGTGGATCTTGCCATCTCCCAGCAACCTTGGTTGTTGTTTTAAGTTATAGATACTAAGAATTAGATTACTAGGTATGAATCTCTCCGCGCGAGATTGCTGATGCTTGGTCAATGTTCCGTGCGTTCCAGTGGACAAGACACTCTGCGAGCAGTCCAACAAGTTCTATTGCGGTGACAAGCTGTGCATCTCGTCGGCACTGAGGTGCGACGGACATCCGGATTGCAAAGATGGGGAGGACGAAGTCAACTGCAGTGAGTTTTCCCCTCACAGCGTTCTCTGTCGTTTTCGTCATATTCTCACCACAATCAATTCGACATATGGAGAGCTAAACTTTTTCGCAGGTTTAATAGTGAGGTGTGTAGTGCCATTATTTCAGGACAAAATTTTACTGCAACTATAGGGTGTAATCACTTTATACCGGGTGTTCCAGCAAAGGCTTTCAAAGATCTCTAAAAATCGGGTGATTGACAAAAAAAAGAAACTCTTTCCGGGAAGGAACTTCCAGTCACGGTGGATGCCAGGAATTGCTAAAAACATACTACTAATTAGCTAAATAATTAACTACATTTTACTGACTACCTTTTGAAGTTAGTGGAAATAAACTTGTGTCCAATAAAATAACTTGCTAAGCATAATCAAAGACCACTGAATCAACTCATTTTAGAAAGGTACAAGGCAGCAGCAGCATTTTACGGCATTCCAAAGAAACGCTCAAGTTGGATGTTTTTCGAGGTTTCAATACCTTGTCGGAGTGCATCTTTGCGCCCGTGGTGTTGCACCCCAGTGGTAGAGAAACGCAACGCATGTGCGCCGCCATACTTCTCCATCCTACGAGGGACGTGAGGCGGTGGCTTCACGTCTCGGCCACTGGGGAGCAGGTCCACGGGCGCAAAGATGCGCTCCAATAAGGTACCAAAACCAAGAAACGCTTTTGATGTTAGTTAACAAGTTTCTCATTAGAACCATATGTTTATTTTCACTAATTAAAAATGTCAATTAGTAAATTTGAGTTAATTAGTTAACTAATTAGTGTTCTTTTTGCACTCCATAACATCCGCCGTGGCTGGCAGTTTGTTACAGAAAGGAGTTTTTTTTTGTTTTTTTTTCAGCCACCCTCTTTCTAGGGATTTTAAAAGCCTTTGCTAAAACACCCGGTATATTGGATTGCAGGCTTTCTATACTCTTTCATCCATTACCAGCGTAACCACCTTAATTTAGATACCTTGTTTTAGTCCCCCCTGCCCAGATTCTGATCTGTCATTAAGTTTAAACACACCTGTCATGATATGTGATGGTGTTCTCAATTATCAGGTAATTCTGAAAACAGTATAGTTCTTACTGTGGTTTTTGTATAGTAGTTTCTTTTTAAGAACCTACTATGTAATTCATTCTTAGTTCTTAATCTCATTTGTATGCAATTATTCGATACATAGCTCAACATGCAGCAGCATTGAAGCTTCAAGTGGAACATGGCGACGCATGATCTAGCAAACGCTGTTCACACAAACTCTTCTGTGACCAGCTGTAGTGGTGATGGCAATATATTTTTTCCAGCCTGCGATGAAACCCAGTTCCAGTGCATGAACGGATACTGCGTGTCGAAGGCCTCCGGACCTGTACGCTGCAACGGCGTTCTGGATTGTGCCGATGGAAGCGACGAGCGCGGATGCGGTAATTGCATTTCCCCCCAACACTATGGATGTTCACGGCACATTTAAAGGACATTATGATGTCTTGAGGGTATCTGCGGGAACAGAAGTCGTACAGTTGCTGCGAATCTGGCACATTTCGAATTGGCACGGCGACTGAGCATAATGGACCTTTTTCCAGTACACTCTATCTCTAGGCCTACCTTCCCGCTGTCGCCATTTTCGCAGGGCACCGTTTCACACGACCAACATAGTCAGCATCTATCTTTGTGCGTATTTAGTCTATTTTGATGCCTTGTTTTGTATCAATAGTATATGAAATATAAAAAGCACTGAAAACCGATACAACACCAGAATGTCAATGTTTTCCGAAGGGCCGAGGCATGTTGGGCTGCTCTTCATTTGTAGTTCGCAGACAACTCCCCGGACGGCGCTCATTACTCGAAAAAGGTCCATTGTAACATCCTTGCGTGTTAACCTTGCACTGAAGTGTAGCTCACAATGGAGTTTCTTGGAAACTCCAGTGAAAATTGCTTATTTATAATAGAAGAATGGAAGGGGAGGTAACTAAAAGAGACGTGTAAACATCCGACACGATCACAGCCCTCAACCACAGCATGCGACAGAAATCCGCAATGCGGAGAGCGGATCGTCTGCTTCTTGTGCAAGAGTTGCGGTGACATCAGAGCAACGCCGAGCTCTTATTGGCTGATAGAAATAATAGTGGGTAGACCTCAAAGCACCTAGCATTGAGATGTACCTACTATTTTTTTCAATCAGCCCATAAGAGCTCGGCGTCGTTCTGACGTCATTGCAACTCCTGCGCAAGAAGCAAACGATTGCTCTCCGCATAAACATTTGCAGAAATACAAAAATCTTAAGGAGAAAAAATAATAGCAATAATACGCTTTATTAGAAAATGTCAAGGTATTCTGGGTAGCTTGCAAGGCTAGGCAGGTAAGCAGGGGCCCATGTGCACAAGTTATAACCACCCAAATATGAACAATACTGGCACTTCTGATAAATTGCATCAGAACAATTTTCTATGCCTGAAGGAACGACAAATTCAGAGGTGCTTCGACTCAAGTGTTTACTGTTTCCTTTGCGTGTGTAAAATATGCTTGTGCATCTTTGGCGTAAGATGTGCAAGTTGTTGTGTGCTCCTGTTAGCTCAATCTTTGCATTTAGTATGGTTGATATCTGAGTCTGTCCTTATCTTTGATGATGCCGATTAAAACTATATTACTCGGTTCTGCCTATTGTTATTGTGTGCCGTACATCGCGAGTTGGCCAACCTCTTTCTTCATGCAGGTTTTTTCACTCTGAGGTGCACCTTCTCAGGATATCGCTACTGTTGAGCATATTACACTCTTATAGTGAGCCATTCTTTTTTCCTGTTTTTAGTAAAAGTGGACACCAACGGCGTTGTCCACGTGCTCGACGGAAGCACAAACTCGTGGGTACTGATGTGCGCCGACAACGCCACACTTCACGACGGTCATCAAATCTGCCAGGAGATGGGGTACAGGTGAGCGCAAAACTGCTAGAAACACATTTACCTTAACTTCCGGCTTATCACAATTTTGGTTGCTGGAGTTGTTTACCCCAGTATGTTCTCGAAACCCGCCGTAACTTTTGGCTCATTACAGTCTGGGTGCCAGGGTTCAAAACAGAACCTTGTTCTCGGGCATACCCATTGATCGGCTACTTAACTTTGTCTGAATCTGATTCCTGGGATGAAAAGCAGATCTTCCGTACTATAGCATGTTGCAAATATAAGGAGAAGAAATGCCCCTCTAACAATGCCCTCTCTGCACTGCGATTGGTTGTTTCCTCCTCCTCATCCACCTCCTCTCTTCTAAAAGGGAAACATTGGAGTTCTTTGTCCTGCTATTTTTAAGCTGCGACAGACTACAGTGTTAAGAATATTCAGTCGAAGGTAATGCCACGTCCCGCCCGTTCCGTTCATAATTTCGTCCATGTTCTCTGGCATTCGAGTCTTTTAGCATCGCATGCTCTTAAAAAAAAAAACACTAAACCTAGAAAAAAAAAATTTTTTGCCTAATATTTTTGTTACAATATGAATTTTGCGATTTGTGGGCGAAACCGAAATTGCACCCCTGTGGGATGATGATGATAGCATTTGTAGCCAAGTGGTGTACAGTCCGAGTTCGTTGGACCTCAGTGGGCACATTACCATAGTTGGGTACAAAGGCTATCATCATCATCCTACAGCGGTACAATTTCGGTTTCACCCACAAATCGAAAAATTTGTTTTGTAGCATAAACATTGGGGAAAAAAGTGTATTTCTTTCTTTGAACATTTATTTTAAAACGCACCTGTCCTAACCAGGCGGAAAAACTTTTTTTTTCCTAGGTGCAGTGTTTTTTTAATTCATAGCTATAGTAGCTACTTTTCAAGCATATACCTAAAGCATTTTGGTTCTGTCTCTTACACGCAAACCAGCGATCCAGTAAGTACACCACAAATGGGCATGGCCGAACCAGTTTTCGTCAGATGACCGCTGCCCGTCTGCACCGGCTGACCACTTTCCCGTTTTCCCAGCCACGCAGTTTCGACCGACGTGATGAGAGTCGATGCGAACACGACGGCGTGGGCGTCTTGGATATCGTCGGGAACAGAAGGCGACACCTGGAGCGGGGGAGTCGTCTCCTTGGAGTCGTGCAACGACGGAGCCTTTTCCGTCAAGTGCCATCACTTCGGTAAGTTGGCACACGTTTCCGAGTGAAACGTGAAACGTGAAAGCACCCTCGTTTGCATCTCCTTAGGTTGTGTTAATTAAGCCCAGGCTAGATTAAACGAGGATGGGCGAGATGGAGACAAGGCAATGTTGGCTTTGCTTTGGTCAAGTCCGGTTCGCGCATCGAATCTGCGAGCGGCGAGAAAATGAAAGGTCAGCTGTGCATCGGAGCTACTGTCGGTGCTGCCTCAGCACTCGGTTCGTGCTGTACTGTGCGAATATACAGGAAAAGTCAGGGTCACATGCAGTGGACTGCCAGTACGGCGCCGATGTACTGCAGAATACCGCGGAAGCGCCCGCGTTGTAAACTTGGGAATTCTGCAAATTGTACATTAAGCGCCTATCCCTTTAAAAGCGCCGGCATCGGTCGAAAATATTCACCCCGTTGCGGCGGCCACGAGACTGCCCATGGCAACGACGGGGATATGGCTTGAAAATAAATGTGCTTTCTCCGATTCCGTTCACCCTGCCTTCAAAGCTCTTTATTGCCCGCCATCTTGGTTTTTACTGATTTGATCAGACAAGTGCCCATGTTTAGAATAACCCAGTTTTCAGTGATAGTGGGGTAAGCGCTTCCCCATTATTTTACGGTGAGTTAAAGAACACATGCAAATGAAAAAAAACTTTTTTTTAAAGAGCTTAGATGGAAAAAGGATGTCATAAAATGATTTTACAACGAATAAAAAAAATTTTTAGAGCTATATTTACAGCGCTACACAAATTTGTAGTTGGCACCCGCGGGAGCCGCCGCTAGTCACGTGGTAGGCCCCCGCGCCGCCGCGCTGCGTTGCCGCCGCCGGAAAGTCACGCTGCCGCCGCACGCTGAGCATTGTGCGAACGCTGCTTCAACGCGTTTCTCCACGCTGCCGTCGCCGCCGCCGCACAAGTTTGTCTGCTTCGGGGCACCGCCGCCGTCGTCTGACCGGCGCAAAGGTCTATCACGTCTGCTTGCGCTTTTTCAGGAGTTTCCTTTGGGCTCCAAAAGTTACCTATTAATCTTAGTTATTTGTTATACTTCTAACAAAGATGAATAAGTTACTTTTAGACGCTATATGAAGCTTCCGAAAGAGTGCAAGCACCACGTGATAAATAAGGGCCAGTCACGTGATAAATAAGGGCCGCTTTTCCGCGGCGCTGGCGGGCGTCGACTGCAAATTCGTATAGCGCTGTAAATATAGCTCTTAAAATTTTTTTTCTTCGTTGTCATATTGTTTAATGACATCCTTTTCCCATCTAAGCTGTTTAAAAAAAATAATTTTTTTTTCCTTTGCATGTGTTTTTTAATAAGAAGTTTTAGAATAGCGCACGATAAAGCTTTGCATACCCAAAGAATAGCGTTGTTGCCGCTGGGCATGCTCCAAATGCCAACCACATTTTGCGCTTTGAGTGCACTATTTTAGCGTACGCTATTTCTTGGAAATTCTGTGCGTACGCAAAGAGTCTTTGCACTTCTCCAAGAAGGATACATGATGAGAAGCTGGCTAAAGCCAAGACGAGCACAGTTAAAAAATGGCGGCTCCCATGACCATGGTTTCATGGCTGCAGCCGCTTTGGTGGCAACGTGAGCACGACTACATCGGCGGCATCCTTACCACTGCGGTTTTTAATACGGGACGGCATTGCACTCGGTTTGGAAAACCCAGTAAGGTGGGCAGCAAACGTTGGCAACTTGATGCTTGCGACGCGCGAGCATTTTTTGGTGAAGGTACGGTGCGCGAAGAACAGTGCACGAGACCTCTCTTGTCAATGCGACACAAGCAGACACGTCCGGTCGATCGCTTGTGTTGCATCCTCATGTTTAAACAAATCTAAAATGTTACTCTCTACCCAAAAAGTTGTTGTTGCTTAAGTTACAGCATTTTGTGTGTGAAATAAAAATTCTGGCTTTATCTTGGTGGTGTTGTAAGCACGAGAGTTTTAGAGTGACGTACGTAATTTCAGCGCATGCTAGCGCTAAATTTAGCGCTTGTGTTAGCGCATTCTACGCAAGAGAGTTTTAGAATAGCATTTCTCTGCCACAATGCAAAAGCCCAAGCATCTCGCACTTGCAACGCCATCGAGATACAGTCACAATTTTTATTTCACATACAAGATGCAGTAACTTGAGAAAAAAACAATTGTTTTGGTCCAGAGTAACATTTCAGATTTGTTTAAACATAAAAATGCGACGTGAATGGTCGACCGGTCGTGTCTGCCTGCATCGCTGTTTTTCTCTAACCTTCTCTGTGACTACCACTGTGCATAGAAAACAAACTAACTCATCTTCCAGGTTACGATCATCGAGGATTAACCCTGGGTGATATTTATTGTGAGTGAAAACCGTCACACCGCTGCTTTAACTTGCAATGTAAAATGCAGAGCAAATGCCCGCCCCAAATTTAAGAGATAACCTCTAAAAAGCTAAGGGATCGGCACTGCTTAGATCCAAGAACAAAACTGCAGAAAAGGCACCGATAGGGTGGGCTCCACCACTTTGCACCGGGGTGCTTAGAGAAGCGGCTGACGAGGAAGAGCCCCTCAATTAGCTAGGTGGGCTCATCTGAAACAGGGGTAGGCACTTACCGTGACCTGGGCTCATGCTCGGTATTTTACGGTAGTATTTCAGCAATGTTCCAGTAGACTTGCAGTTGTGCTTGACGAGACTTCAGTGTTACTTGTTCATTCACTCCCTCAGTTCTTGGGCATCTGTCACAAACCTATGCGGAGCGCAAGTTTGTCCGCTTCCCTTGCGGGGGGGGTTGCAGTGACGTCGCAACGTTGGGCACCAACTGGCTCTGATTAAAGGAGAGACCTCAAAACCTCAAAGCAAGCTGCCTTGAGGTCTACCCACTCTTCTTCAATCGGAGCTCGACGTTGCGACGTCACCACAGCCCCTGCAAAGGAAGCAAGAACTTGCGATCCGCATACCAGCTCGCCTCCTTGTTGGTTTGGCTTTAACACGTGGAGGTTCCAATGTGTGGAATGCCTTAGCTTTCTACTGATGGTTGGTGTGCACGGTTTTCTTTTGGCTCGATTTCCAGAGTGCGAAAACCAAACGGAGGTGCTGTTCCGGATTGAACGCGAGGCCACGGCCCAGTCGTCGCACAGCGAGGTCTGGCCGTACCTTGCTCTCATCTATGGAGAAGGCTCGGACTTTGCGTGCCATGCAGAGATCGTCAGTCCTTTGTGGCTGCTCACGACTGCACACTGCCTCCAGTGAGTTTTTTTTGTCTGAGCACGTCTTGGTGTGATTAGCGCAGTCGCCAACAATGCCAATGCATTGCAAGTTGGCTGTGTCTGGACCAAAATCTGCACCTTGCGGGTTTCGATGACAGTGGGCATTGGACTAATGTGCCTCCGTGTCATCACCAATCGTGGGGTGACATGAGACGGCATCGCAAGGTGGACTGGCCCCTTGCCGCACGATAAATAGCCACGTAACAAATCTGACTTGCAAAACTACTATCGTACTTGAGAATAAAATTGTATCTGCAATAGCTTTGACTTGATTTGAAGTCTGATGCAATTAGCACAATGTATGTCTGTGGGAGTAAACAAGTTGGTGGATTAAATCTCTCTTCGTAATTGTTTGGTTATCTATAATAAGATCGGTGTTTTCTCGGATACGATCTTGCAACCCCGAGGGACCTGGCGTTTTTTGTTAGGACGTACAATTCAAGTTCATTCTCTGTCAGGGCAAGTTGTCGTTTCACCTCGTGCCGTCGTGACAAACGCAAAGAGCACGACACAGGTAGCCTAAACACGACATCTTCTGATCAGTATGCATCGCCCTATTCTTTGCCAAACTCAAAAGCACCCGTCGAAACTACCGGCGCGGAAGAACGTACCCGTTTGCGCTGCTAACTCTTGCAACAATGTTCCGCATTCAACGCTGGCTTCTTTGAGTCAATTGTGATGAAGCGACCACATGTTGGAGTGTGCACCCGGCCCTCTCCACGCTCGAAAAATAATGCTCTTTCCTTCACCCCCTTTCCTCTGCCGCTTCCCTCTTTTTTTTCCCTTTGGGGAACACCACACAGGCAGCTTCCCCAGAACGCCTCCCTGCTGTACGCGCAGGCCGGATTTGCCAAAATGTACAACACCACCGAGAGGCATCCGGTGAAGAGTGTGGTGCTCCACCCACACTTCTCCCAGTTCCGCTCCAAGACCCTCCCGGACTACGACCTGGCGCTCGTCCGGCTGAAGGACCCGCTGGCCTTTGCAAGCCACACGGCAGCCGCCTGTCTGCCGGACGACGTAGTCCGTCCGGGCGTCACCTGCTTCGTCGGCAGCTTTGGCGATGGCCGGCCGCGCGGTGAGTCGCTAGGCGCGGGACGGTTCGGCTTGGGTGCAGTGCGTAGGGTCAACATTGGTTCCAGGCGAGGGCTTTCTTGGCTGCCAACTGGATGGGGCTTTGAAACTGTCTGCTTGGCATGTGTTATTGACCAGTTGGAAACCTTTGACTTGTTCGCGAGTCCACGGTCGAACGGTGTTTTGGTGGGAACTCCTCACCAACTTTCCAATGGTGAGAGAGGTCTAGCGGCCTCTCGTGCTCTTGTCCCGAGTGATTCTTCGCCCGTCGATTGGTGTCGGTTCGTGTAAGGCAGTGAAACAACTTGGTGTTCTCAGAGAAAGGACGGGTTGTCTATTGCTGCCGAAATAAGATAGCCGACGGTCACAATTTCGGCCCGCGTCCGATCTCGCTTTGCCACAGCACTCGGTTCGTAGCAGACTATGCACTTTTTCCGGGGGAGAGTTGGGGAGTGAAGGACGTGCAGTGTTTGCCTGTGAAAAACGCTTCGTAGCACACAAACCCAATTCCTTCGCCGCGTCAACAGGCGAACCATCTGTGAATGATATCTTAGCTCACTTGCTTTGCAAGAGAGACACCAGATCAAATACTCACCCTCGCGGTGACAAAAATCAGGCCTCGGAATGCATCTCTGACAGGCGTGTTTAGCGCAAAATCCCGCCCACGCATCCAAAGTGCCCCGAAGTAGCAACAAATTGCATCCCCGTCATCCCGGCTCTTGCTCTTAGAAGCTCCGGCATAGAGGATGAGTGAATGCTAGAGCTACTCTGATCATGCATCCCAACTCCTGGCTGCTGAGGCTTTCCTAAAACGTCAAGCTGTAGGGCAACCCAGAGCAGAACAGGCACATGCCGCATCCGCAGCTCTACCGCCAGGACGGTTACAGGCGACATTGTGACGCAAGTGTGATGTCATCGGGCGGAAATCAAGAAATTACAGATGAGGACGCCATAAACACGCCAGTCAGAGACGTGTTCCAGACACCATTTTTAGCCACAAGTGCTCGCCATGGTAGCCCACAACCTATCGAAGTCGGCTTCAGATCCTTAAAGGGGCATGCAGCATGCATTGAGCCGGCCTGGCCGAGCTTGGACTGAAGACTGTCAAGGTTCTTAATGTCATGCTTTCTTCTGTAACTGGATAGGCCACGGAGGGTCGGACTAGCAGTCTTCTTACAGTTTATAAAGATCTTTTCCTGTGACCTGCTCTCGTTCCAGTTCCCTTCATGAAGGCACAATCCATCATTCACCTGCCCGTGGTGATCAATGAACTGGCGACCTGCAACAACGATGAACACTATAAAGAGGATGTGAGCCAGCAGATGATCTGCGGCGACGGACGCAAGATGAAGCGTCAGCTGTGTGATGTAAGCTGTGGCACTTTCTCTGAATCCAAGAACGAAGGATTGGCAGAATCTGCAATAAATTACAAAAGATGAGAAAAATTGCATGCTTTAAAAAGCCCCCGAAAAGAAAAAAAATAAGTTTTCTTTTAAACAGTCTGATTGGGACATGCAAGTCAAAAATAAATTTTAGGCAAACTAATTTTTTTTTTTTTTAGAGCAGTATTGACGGCGGGAGATTTATTTGAAATTTTGCGTGCGAAGTCCATGACGTCACTGGTCATTCCGGAATGACTATCTCGGTCGCGAAGGCAAAGCCACTCCACCTCTCCTCCACACGCCCGAAATTCCGTGAAAGAAAACAAGTGGAAAGGAGGTGACTGCCAGCTAAATCGTGTCTCGCGCCGTCTATATTGCTCTAAAAACTTTTTTTTTTTCTCATAAAATTTATTTTTTTTACATGCAACCAGACCGTTAAAAAAGAAAAAAAAAAAAAAAGAATGTTTTTTTTTTTCTTTTTAGAGGCTTTTTAATATTTAAGGGCTTGAAGTTTCGAGTAAAAGGGTAGAGTAGCGGGGAGAGCTGAAAATTGTGAGCAAATTGAATCAGCTTGAACAGGTCTACAAAACGTGAGAAAATCTGCCGAAACGGTGGTGAGTCGGAGAAAGGTAGTACAACATCTCACTCACTAGGCTCCAACTTCGTCAACAGTGTCACGAGGAAGTGTATTTGTACACCTTAGTTGCTGATGAAAGCACACTTGTGTCTCGCTCAAAATGTCTCCACTGTTCGTCCATTTCAGAGCGACATTGGAGCTCCTCTCATGTGCCTGTCTCCCAACAACATCTGGCGTCTGGCAGGCATCCTAAGCTACCAGCGGCATTGTGGCACCTACCGCAAGCATCCGTCGGTGTTCTCCAACATCTTCGAGATGCGCGATTTTATTGACAACGTCACGGGACTCAAGTCGTACAACGTGACCCATGACCCGCTGCTCTACACGCTGGTCGAATTCCCGCAAGGCGACGACAGCAGCAATGCGACGGCCGAGCTTCGGTCCTACGAACCCGACAAGGTGCTGGGTTCGGACCGCAATGCATCGTCAGCCGTCGCAGCAGCCCTGTACTCGCACGAGAACATCTTCGGCGGCAACTTTACGGACGTCAACGAGACCGTCTCGGAGGTCTACAAGATCTCGGAGTTCGTTTCCGGACCGAACGCTACAAATGCTTCGGCCGTCTACAACGCAACAGAAAGCGACGTCGAAACGACGACGGCAGCGGCGGCGGCAGCGACCCTCGGCCTTGACGCAGCACTTAGAGAAATCGACCTGTCAGAGTCGACGACGGTCAGCGTTCCATCGACGACGGAAACTTCGACGGAGAGCATCGGATCGCCGAGGCTGATGGATTCGGACGCAAGCGTGGATGTCGGCGTGACAGCCGTGGACGTTAATACAACAGTCGTGGATGTTAACATGACGGTGGTGGACGTTAACATGACGGTGGTGGACGTTAACGTCACCACTCAAACAAATGGTGCCCAAGCTGGCAATGCCACTTTAGGCCGGCTCGAGCACATGATAGCCGACAGCATCGTGACCAATCGCAGCGAAATGGTGCTCGCGTCGCACGAACGAAATGACGCGGAAGAAACAACGTCCGTTCCATCTTCGACGGCAACATCCATTCCAACTTCGACGACAACGAACGGAGAAAGTTCGAGCACAACTATGACACCTGCGACGACCGTAAAACTGCTCGCTGCTTTACCCAGCAACGTAACGAGCGAAATGAGGGCAGTGAATGAAAGCTCTACTTTGGCTCCCGCTACAACTGAAGCCACCGAAGCAACAACAACGCTCGAGAAGGCACGCTCGGACGACGAATCGGAGGGAAAAATCAACTCTACGGAAACGTTGGGGGCTACACCGTCTGCAACCACTCCCGTGCCATTCCAAGAAACTACACCCTTCTCGTCCACCTTGCAGCCTGCAGCCACCACAGAAATGACGGTGAATGACACAGTGTTTCTAGAGCCTCGCCGAAGTTCTAATGGTAAACCATTGTCTTCCAATTCCTTTTTTGAGAAATCTGGCCCCAAAAGCCTCGAAGTCATACTTTGCTTGTTTTCTCTTCCTTTACTTTTAGGCACAGAGTGCATGGGCTTCGAATGCAAATACGATAAACGTTGTATAGAAAAAACGCTTGTTTGCGACGGCTCGTACGATTGCGTCGATGCCAGCGACGAGACCAGTTGCAGTGAGTTCAAAATTTCCCATCTTTTTAAGCGTCATTCTTTCTTGCACTGCGTTCATACAGGGTCGGAAGAATGATCTCGTGTCGACCGAACCTCACCTTGAAAAATCCCATTTGCAGTTCGTCTCGACGAGGAAACTCGAGCGAGAATCCGCGGAGGGGATTGGACCCCCATCTGTGGTGAAGCTTGGAATGATACTTTCAGCGACTTTGTCTGCCAAGAGGCTGGCTATGGGTGAGTTCCTTCGCTGCACTTGAGTGCGAGTTTTATGCCAAGTACAGTCCTGTGCTGGAAACGGAGAGGTCCCTGGTTTGATACCAAGACCAGTCAGATTTTTTCAGTAGCTCGGCAGTCACTTAGCTGCGTTTGGAGATTTGTGTTTGTCCTTTGTCCCACTTGTTCCCCTTTTCCAGGGATTATATTATCATATTCTTGTCCAGCTCGCTTGCACTTTTGCATTAATTGCACTATCACAGTCCTGTCCTTTATTACCTAACGCTTTGTAAATCAACCTTCTACCCTACAAAATGTTTTTGGATGCAAAAACGAGCATGCTGAGCATACTATTTTACTTTAACTCAATTTGCTAAATACCCTCCAAGAAAAATAACTAACGAATGTAAATAGACCGACTATTATTTTTCCTCATAGTCTCATAGCAGCACCATTATAAAGGGGCGCACCTTTTTCACTTGCAGCAGGGCATCTGAGACAACCATTATTGCTTTGGACTCACCATACGAGACGTCTTTGACATATGATGGCACCCTCATTGATGAACAGAACCACAGGCTACTTCATTTTCTGAAGCCCAAGTATGACAGCTCACTTCAGTTGTAACTTTGTTCTATGAAGCTCATTTGTCCTTTGACTAACCATACGTTTTTGTACTCTGCGACAGGAACGGAACGTGTGTTACCAAAGTCGTGGTCAAGTGCATGGAATTCCGTAAGTATTGCCGTTTGTCACCGCGATTCTCATTTATTAATGCGAAAGCATTAACTGTAACATGGAGCGAGCTGACGTCATCAGCCGCGCCAAACGGCAGATAAATTCGTGAAGCCACAGTCCGAGGCATCCCAGCTTCGAAGCCGCGCAAAAAGCCATGCAAAATGGAAAGTAAATGAGCCGAAGGAGGCCACCGCACGTCAGTTTCAATCAGCGCCACTCCACGGCGCTGCGTGCCCGCATGCCAGCAAAAGGAGCCGGCTGGCGCGCCTGGGAGGTGGCACAACCGCCCAAGCGCGCCAGCCGCTTCGTGCAGCCGATTCCGGTGGCAAGGCCAATGTCAGCGAGGCGCGACAACTTCACGAGGACGCGCGCAAGAACGACGTTCATGCTTTCGCATTCACAACTCATAAGAAGTGCTTAGGTGTACGTCACACCTTTTTTTGTAGTTCCTTACCCTGAAGACCAAACTTCATCATTTTCAATAACAACAATGAAACTCCATGCGGTTTCAAATCAAATGTCAGTTGCAAGACTAGACTGGGGAAGGTTATGACATCCACGTGTCCGCTAATTCAAAACATCAGATTACAGATCTTGGGGCGACATGACAACATATGAAAATGCTGGATTCAGTTAATGCATCTATGAATTATTTAAGTGCATCTATGAATTCAACGGCTCCTTAAATAGGCTCAAAGATCACTTTACTCCTTTATTTTTATATATAAAGGGACATTTGTTGCGTGTAAAACACATTAAGTATGGGAGCAAGCAAGTAAGGATCTAAAGTGGAACTAAGTTATGTAGTATAAAGATGGAAAGAAGAAAGCAACTATTTGCAGAGCACATTCATATGCGGAGCGCAAGTTCGTCTGCTTCTTGCACAGGGGTTGCGATGATGGCTGAATGCCGAGCTCTTATTGGCTGATTGAAAATAATAGTGGGTAGAACTCGAGGCATCTAGCATTAGGGTCTACCTTCTACCCAATCTGAGCTCGGCATCGTTCTGTTGTCACCGCAACTTCTGCGCAAGAAGCAGACGACTTGTGCTCCAGATTCCAGTACTGCGACGTCCAGGAACTTTACGTTCAGACTAACATCTGGCTTGGCTATTTTAATTTCCAGAATGCGGTTCCTGGGACTCCGCGGACAGAAATGCGTCCACGTCCAACACGGCAAACGGCACGGTCATCCACGCCGGAGAGAAACGGTGGCCGGCGATAGGCCTCTTGACGTCGAACGACGGGCAGTGCATCGCCAGCGTCCTCTCGCCTCATTGGCTCCTGACTTCGTGGTCATGCATGTCCAGAAGGTACTGCAGCAACTTGCACAATTTTCAGCTGGATCAGACGCCGCACTGGAATGTTTGATTGGCCATTTCAACGCCGTATAAAAGAAATATTTATTTATTTATTTATTTCAAAATACTGCCAATCCCATTGTGATTTTTGCAGGTATTGGGGAAAAACAAATATACATCAAGAGGCAAATATCAATAGAAACGGAACATCAAAATATTGCGTCATTCTTGTAGCAGAAAAAAAAACACATCAATTCATAAATTGACAAAGTAGTTGTTTTTCAACTGCATCACTAAACAATTCAACACTTGTACAACTAAAAAAGTGCCTATCTAAACTATTCCAGTCTCTTATAGCTGCAGGAAAAAATGGGTGTTTAAAACTGTTGGTATTGAGGGAATACTCGACGAGTGTGTCGCTATGTTTATGTCTAGTGGCTCTCGCTTCCGATCGCTTAAAGGGCAACTCCGGCCAAAACTCAAAATGAAATAAATTACTGGTATCGCTGTAGTGACACAAAATACGACCCCAGCCAAAATATTACGCCCGTAGGACGCCGGATTCTCAACTAATGCCGATAACAAAAGTGCGACCCGCCGCGAGCCGCTGCTCCTTAGCGGGTGGCCAGCGGGTTGCCGATCGCTAAAGCAACATTGGGCCGTGACGTCCGTATCATTCTCTTTTTTTCCTCCGGTTCGGGCGTTGCGCGGAGTGCGCTTCTTTGAGCCGCAACCACCGCTACTTCGGCTTGTGATTGGCGCGTTTAGCCGTTGCTTTTATCTGCAGCCCGTGTAGCTTTGGCATAGCCTTTTGTTTATTTGCTTGTGAGGACTTTAAGACTTGTTTTAGCGAGCAACTCGGTGCGCCCAAGACTGCCCAGCTGTTCCTCGAAAGATGCCGAGTGCAACTTGTAGCGCTGTGCGCTGCTCAAACAACCCGCTGCGCAACACGGAGGTGCTTTTTCACAAGTGTCCGACGGACCGGAAATTGGAGAAGGTGTGGGTGAACGCTGTTCGACGAGTGGACTTTGGACTTCGGCTTTTACGCGCCTGAGGAAAAAAGAACGAAAAAACAGTCGTGTACAGCCCAGCACACGTGTGTTCGGGCGCCGCGGCCCGCACCGGAGAGCCTCAAACCTTCGTGTCTGGGACTGACCCGCAGCGCGAAAGCGAGAGGGCCCCCAGTAATGTACGTCACTGGCAGCGCGGCGTAAAGCAACGCCGCTCCATCCACGGAGCCCAGATGACAATTTAGGCCTAGCGACGAGTACGGAAGACCACACACACGGCGACAGCCGCCGAGTACGGCACCGAACGTGTTCACTTGTTTTCCAGTCGCTAGCTTTTGGGTATACAACGACGAGTACCGCATAGCACACGCACGGCGGTGACCGCAGAGTACGGCACCGTACGAGTTCACGGGTTTTCCAGTCGCTAGCTTTTGATTGTACGCACTAACTCCTGCTACATATGCTCGATAACTACCAGATATACAGAATTATAACAAAATCAGCTTACCTCCTATCTTTAGACGGCTAGTGCAATAGAGGTAGGTGGCGCTCGGCCTGCGTACTCGTTGAACGAGAACGATCTTGACGTCACGTTCACATAGCGGCTGATTTCCAGTGTTGCCGGGGCCTCTAGCGGCTAGTTTCGGTTTTGTTGGCCGCGCCCCAAACAAAAATTTCAGGCGTCGATATCTTTAAAACTACGCACACTAACGAGAAAAAAATTGCACCTTGCAATTCAGGGATGCTGACTGAACTAAAAACAGTAATCCCAAAATCGAAAGTATGGATCGGAGTTGCCCTTTAACATACTTGTTTTCATCTATTTCAAATGCGTCGTTTAAAAGGAGGAACATAAATTTCAGTCGACTGAGTCTTGCACAATCAACGATGGTCAATAAAACAGCTTTCTTTAGTAGTTCTGTTGGTGAATCGAAGCGACTGTATTTGTGGTAAACAAATCTGGTTGCCTTTCCTTGGACACTTTCTATAATACTTTTATTCTTCTGCGTATGTGGGAATCAGGATATATTTCTGTATTCTAGTACTGGGCGCACAAGAGAGGTGTATGCTAAAAGATTTATTTCAGGAGTTGAATACTTTAACGTGTCCTGCCTCGCATTAAATGTGATCCAAACTGGGTACTGAGTACAATCCATACAGGTCCCCAGTCGCATTGTCTTGTTGGTTTTGTACATTTTTCTCGGCAACCACGCACCACAAAGTTAAAATGTTACGTCTCAAACATCGAGCTTCTTGTCCGGAACTTGTTCAAAGTGTTGCGAATTAGTATGCCGATCACAGATGCAATGTGCACTTCACAGCTGGACCGTAGCACATGGCTTTTCAGACTCGGTTCCTAGAAACCGAGGAGTTCCCCAGAGTACCCTTGAAACATTCATCAAGCTCCCGCCCCCAAGTGAAGTGTTCCTCTGGTTTGTGCACCTTTTGAGAATATCCGAGCCATCCACCAATGTGTGGTTACGTGCCAAACACTCCGTAGTTTGTGCATCATTGTTTACAGCGTCTGTAGGCTTCTGCTCTATTGTGTCGCATCAGTGCCAAAACCAAGAGGGGTTAGTCATCTGTCAATCGAGAAAGATTGTTGTTCCTCAAAATCAAAAAAAAAAGTTTGCGGACCTTTTGTTTAGCACCCAACTTCGCAACTTCAAGTCTGACGTGGCCAACTCCTTGTTTCAGCACTCGTGGAAGCGAGGCAAGCTCCTGGGTCCTCACGCTACAGCGACCGGCTGGAAAGGACCCTTACGCGTCGTTCAACTACTCCATCGGCGCCGTTTTACCCAGCCCCGTGTCCAACGCCACAGACCTGGCCCTTGTAAGAGTTCAAAGCACGCTGGAACTAGGGGATGGCATCGAGGCGATTTGTCTCTCCGAAAAAAAACCCGAGCAAGGACATCTGTGCGTCACGGCAGGCTGGCCCCGCAACCAGTCAGGTTGGTGCAGGCCATCTTCTGTCATCATTTCACTGTCGCTGTACAGCCAAAGAGATTGCAACGTCGCGCAATAAGGATGAGTGGGAACTGACCACAAACTAACAAACCGTCATGCCTAATCGACCGACCTTTGTCAAGGACAGTCCGTCACAGGTTAAGAAATCAGAAAAAACTCCTCCCACCCCTTTCCACTTTAGCGGAGCGAACACTGGAGAGGAGGCAACCTCCTCTCCAGCATTTCCTCCGCTTAAATGGAAAAGGGTGGAAGGAGCTTCCCCTGAACTCTTAAGCTGTCACCAACATTACTAGAACAACTCAGTTGGGAAGCTGCAATAGAGCCTGCTCTGAAAAAGTGACGCTGATCCCTACTCGAGAAACAAGCTTATGGCGTTCGCAACGCTGCCATTTCTCCCGCAGCAGCCACTCCGGGAAATGCATGGCTGCTTGTATTGGCTCGGAAGTATCGCATTCAATAATGTTTGCTGTAACTGTTCTATTTTCGCTTTATTCGGCCATCTTGGCGCCGAAACATATACGGTGGAAGGCGTTTCAGGGATATCTTTCCAGCGGATGTGCCGCAAATTACTATCAAGATTACGACGCGCTGAGGTCGGAACGCGCTACCTGAAATCACCAGTGAGACATAGTTGTAGAAAAAACAGTATCAACTGTGCCGCAAAACCTTGTAAACTAAAGATCTTAGAAAACACCATGCACCTGTTATTTTGTACTACTCTTCAATAAAAGTTCATACAAAGTTTTTTTTGTTTGTTTTTATGCAAAACCATGCTTTCTAAAAGCTCATGGTGACCACAGCAAAAAAAAAAAAAAAGATTGAGCCGCCATCTTGGCACCTCTAGCCTAGGAGTTTTCAGTATTCTGGGAACATTCACTGACTCAAGCAGTAGCAATATAAAGCAACTTTCATGTTTCAACTCGTTGCTAAAGGGTGATGCTGTTATCATGCTTAGATGGTCTTAGTGGACACCAGCGGCCCAGGTTTCAAGCTCGAGTTTCCCAACTGAGTGTTCTAGTAACGTTGCCGGTCACCGACTATTCACAACTCCAACACCCTATAGATGGCGGGGCGGTAGTTCCAAGATGACAAAAGGGACGGTGGTAGGTTCTCCAGGATTACCCGTGCGCCTGCTCGCTGTTGTTGGTCAGTGCGTTAAAAATAATTTATTTGCCTACAAATTTGAAGCGGTCAGGGCAGGAGCATATTACAGGTGACGGAGATGTTGATCTGTGTTCGGAAAATGAGCATGTTGATATCTAAAAGTTGTGGAAACCTCAAGTCGTGAAGCTTCGTGAGGGGCAAGCATGTTTTAAGCACTGGCCACGCACTGTGGCAAAATATTTTTGAAGGTGACAAAGATATCGTGGAGTTTGCACTTTGCCTGGCCATTAAACGTCGTTTGCACTTTGCCTGGCCATTAAGCGCCGCTCACACACTTGCTACCAAGTAGGACCGAGAGAGACAAGACCGGTTTTTAACCTGAACAGGCAAAGCCTTATTCCAATCAGTAGAGTTTTAGAGGTGCTGTTTGGTATATACTAATTGTACGAGCTTAACCCTTTGACAGTTGTCACCGCACATGTATGGCAAGGATTACACATTTGAATGCGACTGCTTACTACGCAAAATTGCGCGCACCTTAAGGTGTTGCTACATTTGTTACGTCTTTGGCGAACTAGTATAAACATTATATTCGCACAGTGCTTTGCTTTGCTGGGCTATTTATAGTCTTTTTTAAATTACGTGCTCCTTGCACGTGAAGCTCACTTCAGATACCGGCCGCTCTGGCTTCCTGCGCTTTTTGAGATTATAAGTATCCGACAAAGTGCTGTGAAGTACCTCCGTTTAGGAATCTGAAACCTCTGGAACGTCGCGGTACTGGATGTACCGAAATGAGATGGAATGGACGAAAGGTTTTATTTGATGCTTTGAAACCTAAGCAGCTTACAACCGCTGTATTTCCTCCTACTGGATAATTTCAGAAAAAAAGACCTGAGCATCGACCCTTATTTATACTATTCCTTAGAAAACAAAACACAACCAATGGAAAACATGTTAGGGGCTAAAAACACTCGACCGTCGAAGGGTGAATAAACTCGAGCACAGTTATTTTAGAAAAGAAACATTTTGAACCAATTACCTCCTCAGATTATCCTTCCTTCCGTTTCATGCTGCAGATCACACAAACCACCTGAGCTTTATGCCTGTATCCGTCGTCCCGTGGTCAGTGTGTGAGGACAGCAACGCCACGGGACTGCGTACCGGGGACGGCAGCGCTTGTGCAAGTTTCTCGGAGAAGGAAAATGCGCTGTGCCAGGTAAGACAAACACACTCCCACGTTGTTTCCGTGGCGACAGTCTGCGTCTTTGATAAAGTGCTGATCTTACTGAAACCACTCTACGCTTTTGGACGAGTTTCTCGAAAAGATAGGAATTATCTTTGCTTTGTTTGGTATGTTTTTGTGGCAAGATATGAAAGAAAGTTGTCTGTTCTTTTCTAAATTTCTTTAGTCTCATCTCCTTCATTGGTGGATTTCTTGTCATCTTTGAAAGAAAAGCCTGCATGGATCGAAATACATTGAAAGGGGTTACTAACCGCAGCCTTGAAAAGTATCTTCCCGATTCTCACAACCGACCGACCAACCAAAGCTATCTCAGAATTTTACGTCACCGTAGCAGAACGAATTACACAACCAATCCGTTACTCTCGTTTCTACATTATCTCCCTAGAAAAGATTGTTGGAAACCGACTAGATGCCAGTTTGAAAGTCTGATTAAGGTCCTCTTAATTAACCAGGTGAGCCTCATTGTAAAAGAACTAACGGTCTTGAACAAGGTAATGAACACAGGTGAAGGCCACTTTTCTCTTCATTCAGCGTAAATGCCATTAATAAGAATATTCCAATGCCCGAACTATTATGTTTCTTGCTCACTCACCTAGCTAAAAGGTGCTACTCAGTTCACTACTGATTGGCACTAGCTACTCTCTGGCCACATTGAACACTCCCCACGCTTTCGAGCAAATGAAGGTGGGCCTCGAACTTTTCGCGTGCACTTTCTGTTGCAGAAGTCAACTGCACAACGCTTAACGTTCAGAACCCTAACTATAAACTTGCAGTTAAAAAAAAAGAAAAGGTAGTTGTTGAAGTGCAGTTCATTCTACAAACAGAGAACACTCTTTCATACATAACTAGGGTTCCTTGTTTTTGGAGTTATTTTTGTTTATTTTTTCCAGATTTAAGGGGTTTTGTTTTGTTTCTTCTGGAAAGGGGGGGGGGGGGGGGGGTTTAAGAGATTCTGTTTTTTGTTTAAATTGGTTAAAACTTAACTAATTAAAAAAAACAGTCTGTGGGAAAAAATTAAAACCAAAAAGAAAAGCCCCCAAATTCGACAAAAAAACAAAAAAGCAAACACCAAAAACACTGAACCCTACATATATGTGTTCGGCACTGCAGAGCTGACAAAGAACCTTTCAACTTTTCGTGTCCCCACGTACAACTCAAACATTACTAACGAAGTGGTTGCTTTGTTTTCCCTCCTCTCCCCGCGTCTTTTTTTTTCTAAAAAAAACCTTTCCAACCCATTTTCGATGACAGAAGGGAAGCGGAGCTCCGCTGATGTGTTTCGGCGAACACGGGCTTTGGAAGCTACACGGTGTCTCTGCGTCATCGTCCGTTCGGCAAGCCTGTTCAGTCGACGACGCTTCGCTGTCCGTCGCCTACACGCTCGTCGACTCTGTGCTACAGTGGGCCAAGGACACGCTCGCACGCTAACCCTCGACAACGCTTTCCCTCTGTCCGCCGCACCTTTACCCACGACCAAGAGCAAAAGAAACAAACTGTGATAGTTACCGTTTTTTTTACGTGCGAATATGTGTACTGCGTGCTAGTGTTGCAAGACGGAGCAGCCACAGAAGTCAAGTGGGTGAGGGTGGCGGTGTGTGAAAGTGATCGAGGGTGCCACATACACAGAAACACTCGCGAAAGTGCCTGCTGCAAGTGTGCCGCCAGTTTTGAGTGCACGTTCTGACTGGTGTTCCCACGGAGGACTCTTCAGACAATCTCTCGTGCGGTGTCATCTACTCGCGGGTGCAGAGGTTTACTTTTCAGGCGTGGTTTCTCGGCGGAACTTGGTTCGATAGTCCTTTTACATGGCAAAGTCGCCAAGCGAGTGCTATGTGCCGACGAGAACGGACGACGTCCGCATGGAATCCAGTGTCTGAACTCTCGACTGCATAGAAACGGGAACTTTGGTCGCCAAGTGTTTTTTTTTTCTTTCTTCTATTTACCTGGTCCTGCACATGCCGAAGCCTTATCTGAATTTTAATTTGAGATGCATGTTTTTGTGTCCGACCAGTGAAGTCCCAATTGTTTTTCTGGTGGCCTCCTCCCTCCCACCTGTCCCCGGAATCCTTTGGAGTGCGTGCAGTTTTAGACCACTCCCGTTATCTGGAGGTTTGGAGTGTCGGGAAGGGGAGAGAAACTGTTCCGTGGATGTTTTGTTTCGTGTCGGGGGACGTTATCGTCCGTCGTTGTGTGGCAATGCTGGTTCGAGCCACGTGCAGCGCATGTCGGCTTGTGTGTGTCTGTCTGTAATCTTGCAAGAATGCTTTTGTCACCTGCTGAAAAAAAACGGACACTGTGCGCCAACCTGCGGTCTCGATAATCCCGGGACAAAAAACTGACGCCGTGTTATCTGGCCTCGGCAGAGATTTAATCCAGACTTCTCGTTCAGTTTGGGCTCCTGAGTGACCTGGTGATAGTCAAGATGCTGAAACTTTTTTTTTTGCAAAAGAAAAATGTGGGCGTCATTTCGTCCTAGGTTCATTCAGCTGCGAAGATGCCGACGAGTTCACTCTTAGTAAAAGCTCGTGGCCGTCTTTTTCGTTTACAATTTTGTGCGAGTGTTCTTTTTTAATCTAGGCAAGTTTCATTTTTAGGATATTTATATAAGCTATTTTATTTGTAACAAGCAAGTCCCTCTATCCTTTCTGTGATTTCGTCTGGGGATGACCAATCGTTAAACACAAACGAGAAAAGCTTTTTTTTTTTTTTCCCCTCTGACGAACCGTGACCTAGGAAGCTGTAAATGCTGTTCTGACCAAATCCACTAATAAACAAAGTGTGGAAATCCAGTAAACCGTAGCATTCTTCGTGACAACCTTCGAACATCTGCAAAACTTCAATGATGGCAATATAGCTTTTGTGCAACCATACTCGTTTATTGATAGCACAGTTGTGATTTTTCACATTGTCAGCGACACGAATTGCTCTGTCCGTACCATGCATTGACGTCGGTATGGTTCAATATTTACAAAACATGGCATTCCTTAAAATAATGTGAATCTATAATACATTGCTCTCACTCTATGCACACCAGCATGTCGCACAACATTTGACGTCTCTGCACAAGATTATCGCGTCACATTGTGACGATTGTCAGAAAAAATATATATCTGCATTATCACAATGCTCACATGACATGCAATTATCATTTGAGAACGTCATTAAAAGAGATTCACTCTGGTCATTAAAAAAGAGGAAATGAACGGTGAGGCAAGTCTAACACCTGCGAACCGAGTACATAAATGCATTTCGACGATTGCGTCAGTGTGACGTACAGACCAGATAAAAGTCGAGGAGCAGTCCTTGGTCGAAGTATGATAATGCTTACAAGCAACAGCCTGCAGTAGTCTTGGCGAATCTCAGCACCCTGGGAGTCAGTGCGACCGACTTGTGCTCTTGTTCGTGCGTTTGTCGAAGGCAGCAGGAGAGCAGTGGGCTGCCTGGGTAACAGCGTTCGACAATGTACTCGAACACTGTCTCAATGTTGTTACCAGTCGCGCTAGACGTCTCGAAGTAGGGCGCTTTGTCCTTGGCAGCTGTGTGGTTAAGATTCCTGGCAAACATTTCGGCCTCTGCACTGGAGACCTGTTGACAAAAAGATGAGAAAAATTAGTTTATGCACTTACTGACGTCATGTACGCGAAAACAATTGAATATTAGCATTTCTGCATAGAGAAGGAGGTAGGCATGGCAGGATAGAAACGTGATGATGCAACTCTTGGCTTCTTAAAATGCTGTGCTTGATGAAACAAAGATGCAGCTGTATTAGAGGCAAGGTCTTGTCCAGTAATTTTTAGGCAGCTCTAAAAACTTTTTTTTTTTACGTGAGTGGAACAAATTCGTTTTCAGATGCCAATATTTTTCCGTCCTGTGTAATCATATAGTACCTGTCTTTTGTAGTCCTTCAGAAGATCGGTTTTCGTCCCAACAACCACTTTCAGAGCAAAGTCATCAACCATGTGAAGAAGCTCAACGTACCTAGTCCTGAAAGAAAAGCAGAAACCTCAAATGCTAGCACAAAAGTGCTCTCCAAGAAAGACAAAGCAAAATTATTAGCATCTTTACAATCAATCATGTGCATTATTATCACAAGTGACTTTGTAGCTCAGGCTTACATCAGTGCTTTGTAGCTCTCCCGATTTGTAATGTCAAACGCCATAATGGCAACATCTGCGTTCCTGCAGTAGAAAGAGCTCAGTCCAATATAGCGTTCTTGTCCAGCCGTGTCCTGAAAAATTGCAACATTCCCAAAACATTTTGAATTGCGAGTTTTTTTGCACACAGACACACTGGCGTCACTTTTGTCACACCGTCTTGCCAGCAAAATGAGTCCTCCCCATCTCCAACAACTTGAGAAAGAACACCAAAGCTTTCCGCACTTACCCAAATCGCAATGTTGTATTTCCCCCACATCTTTAGCGTGAACGAGGCTCCAACCGTGGACTGCCGAGGCAAGAAAAAAAGAAATGAAGAAACATCGTGAAAAAGTGTTGAGATGCTAAGTCGCAGCAACAGCCTTTCTTCTGTTCATGACCCACAAATGCCGGAAAAGTTTGCCTGGCCATAATCTTTCAAGAGGTTAATCGTCTTCTGCTCTTCCTAGTCTTGTTCTGCTTTCCTTCCTACCCTGATGACGGCTCCGCGACCCCGACCCGGCCGATAAGTTTGCAATCGGCCATGACCGATTTCGGACGCCTTTTGCTGCGTGTCCGATTGTTTTCGCTTTCATCTTCCAACACTGCACGCACTTGGCAACAACAAGAAGGCGGTATAACACGTAAAATTACGTCAAGCTCATTTTCCCGCACGCACGCGCGGAATGCACAAACGATGCAAACGGTGCGAACTCACTTTGGGCCTGTCATCGAAACGTTTTTCGAGGTAACGTACGAGCAGCGACGTTTTGCCAACATTCGCGTCACCCAGAATCACGACTTTGAGATCCCTGCGAGGGAAGAAATTAAACAAATGAATCGAAGGTCTGAGTCACGACGCCGCACGCCGCTCTTTCACCCGTTGCGTCAGTGAAGTGCAACGGACTACTACCGGCTTCGAAATAGAGGAAGTTTAACGCACAAAAAAAGAGCGCCCAACTTACGCAGTTTGAAGTTTTAGGCCCATATTTTTTCCTTTGCGGTTAAGGGTCGTCGTGGAACGTTCGTCGGGATGGACTGTGGCGACAAGCTCGCACTGCTCTCGAGCGCAGCAAGAAACGAAGAGTGCTTGGGGTTTGTCCGGTGTGCGTTATCGCTTCATCTGGGTCCGCCTTCGTTGTCGCCCTCTCTTCTGCGACAGCCTGGAACCAGCGCGGTGTTGTTTCTGCCCCGGGAGTCCCGATTTGAGTGACGTACTCTTTTTCACATTGCGAAGGGGCCCCGGCAAGATAGCACCGCCCGCGTCAACACACACGCCGGGTTTACGGTTAGCAGCGCAGCGCGCAACAGCGGCAGCAGCTCGCATTTCTCGTCTACGTTTGGCGCTGATTTTGTATTTCTTTGCTTTACGGGCGTTGGAAACGTGTAATTCCGCATCCGAAACCATTTTTTTTTTTTAACGATTTGCTGTTGTTTAGCACGGCTTTGTAGCGGTCGCGTTCCGGAGCGTAGAAGTATCGTTAGCGCCTGTAAAGGTTTGCGGTGCAGCAGTGAGCAGCACACGCCGTCATGAAACCTTTGGCTAGAGAACCTAGATTTAAGAGAGGGAGTAACTCAAACCCTCCTGCGCAGACTGGAGTGGGCATGCGCTGTGTTGTCGCGGGAAAGGAGGAAAGCGGACTCGCAGGCTCGCAGACTGTCAACGCTTTCGTCAGCTGGTGACCCTGGTCGAGCAGCAATCTTGACATTCCATCCATCTCTCTCTCTCTCTCCCTTGAACATCAAATCAGCCACACAGCGAACAAGCTGTCGACCATTCTCAAAAAATAGGCTCGCCCTCTATTTTGCCCTTTGCCTGGCGTTTCAGGAGTTTTGTCGGCGGATCATGACGCGGTGTGACGTGGTAAGTTGGCGATCAAAGAAAAAAGGAAAAGGTAGAACATAACCAACAGGTTGAACCCATTCATCTCGTAAAAAAAGCAAAAAACTAAACGCGGCCTTGAAGATATTTTTCTCTTTCACTCGTTTTCTTTTTTCTTTTTTCAACTTGCAAATAAAAAAGAAACCGTGGACATTTCATGTTAGCAACGGCAAGTTTGGTAACCAACAAATTGTTGTGGAAGGCACGCACGGCCCGTGAGCGTTGCTCCACTTGCACAAACGCTCCTGTCAAAAAAAAAAAAGTAATGTAAGTTATTTCGTGTATGAAAAATTGGCCACAATATTTTATCTAAATATTTATTCGTTTTTCATCGGCCATTTCTTTAAACTGGGAAAAGACTTTTGCTACGAAACATTTCGACCATCATGTTGACAAATGAAATTGCGCCAAAATAATCGCCACCGTGATAAATGGCGTTTAGCATTTTTTCTAGGTATAGTTTTAAGAACAGTTTAACGGGTTTTTTTTTTGCTTTTTTTTTTTTACTCGCCGTCCGTTTACACAGAGGACAAGGCAACTACGTACAGTACCTTAACTCATGAAAAACAAATTTAATTAGAACCACTTCCTTGGGACATTAATCAAAGTACACATCAAATACTATAATAAAGGAAGAATCAAACGTAACTGCGCACAATAATATAAAGTAAACCAGCACCGTACGCGCAATATGGACGACGTGAAAAAAAAAGGAAAAAAAAAAAGATTCAATAGATTTAAGGCTCGACCAAGTTAACCCGAATCGTACCATATTCAACCAATTGTTTAGTTAAATTACAGACACTTATCTACAAATTGTTCTCAATAGTTAACCTCCACGTTGTGGGAACCCCACAACGTGAATCACTGATTGATTTATCGAAAGTGTTTTTATCTTTTTAGTTTCTCTTCCCATGGATATCTTCCTGGGGCAATTAGTTAAAGCAAAATCCCATCTCGGGGAAGCGGTGAAATGGGTACGTTTGGAGCAACACAGAAGAACCTTAGCTTTGAGTTTCGAACAAAAGAAATATGTCAAATTCTAGCTCCACGCTTCTATAATCGTTTTAACCTTAAAAATTGTAGTAAAACAAAGGGTTCGGCTTGTGGAGCTTTACTGATTTCCCAATTTATCTGGTAAATTACGATACTTGTACGCGCATTCGAGATGCCAGTTATCTGATATTTTATCATGACACGCAGGTCTCGAGTGCGATGAAGAATCGTTTTCGTTGTCTCTTGCATTCGAATATTTTAAGAACTTTGCGCAAATCTTGACTTTTTGCTTGAGATAAGGTATCATAAATTCGAAGATATATATGCTCGCCCAAAATTTAAAATATGTTTTTTTTGTCGTTTTTATACGTATTTTTGGTAACTGAGCCAACTCATCATGCTGGTTTGGCATATGTATACTCCCAGTCTTTTACGCGCTATTCAGAGGGGTGAAAAAACGATTACAATGACAATTACGCTTGGTTAAGAAGCATAGAATTAGATTACCTGAGAAGAAAAGTATTTGTCCGTCACTTGAAAAAAAAATAAATAAGTGACGGTTACTTTTTTGATTACTTAAGTTTTTCAAAACGAAAGGTTTTTCTGCCAGTTTGAAAATGATTATTTCGCGCTGTCCATTACTGGATTAGAATCACCAAATCATAGGCCATACTTGCAATCTTAATCCACTAATGTTGGTAAAACCAACCTCCTGCCTTGGTTTGAGGTTTCTTAGTAGGAAACCTGTACAAACAAGGGGCACCGTTAGAAAGGCGAGTGAAAAATAGTAAGGGTTGCAAGCAGCTTTGGTACTTCCAAAAGTTATCGGAGTGCTCTTGCGATTACTGTCCAATAAATATATTCAAATGATTACAAACTTATTCCAGAAAGTAATCCATTAGAAGTAATCCAATTGCTCGTAGTGACTACCTCACCCAGACCCACAATTCTGCTTCAAGTTCACAAAATAAAAAAAAAAAAGGTATATTTCAGCTTATTGCGATTTTTGGCGGCAGCAGTACTCCGAAGTCTTCCACGAGGAAGTCATTGCACAGCGTAAGCGCAACTTTCTTTTTATTATTTATTTTCTGCTGGCGCCCCGCCGACTAATGACAGGAGGTTACCTGTCAGACGAGCTCGCTCACCTGCGGGCGCTAGCGATCCAGCTGCGGTCACTACATATAGGTCGGTCCGCAGAGACGAGCATTTTTTTCCCAGAAACGTAGCCTAATTAAAACATCAGACGAAACATCGCCAGACGTACAACCGGTTATTTATTACCGTGGTTCATGTTTTATGTCGCTTATTTATTTATTTTCTATTTTTTGAGTTGATGTTTGTTTTGGGTTTTATTTGTGTGTGTGTCTAATCCTTGGTTTCTTAGCTTCGAAGGGGAAAAAGGTATCGTAATCAGGCGCTAGAGGTCGTATGGAGGAGAATCGGCGAAACACGAACACGGGGGGAAAGAAAGATAAAATTAGAGACAGTTAATCGGCGGTGTTTACAAATCTGACCGATTGATATTTTACGTAGCGATCTCTGAACATCTGTTGTCTATTGTTTAACCCCGCGCGTCACACATTTTTTTTTTGTCCAAGTATAATAACTAAGGGTTATGACGAAGCACCTTTTCGCGAGAAGTGGCGCGCATTCCTGTTCGTTCTGCCGCTACTCCGCTATGTACAGTTACAGTATTACTTAACTGGAGCAAACGCTTGTCTACTGGGTCTTCGTTCTATTCCATGACATCTATACCATGTCTTCGGTTCGCATAAATACAACCTGAGTTCTCTTATGATTGATTTGTTTTCTGCATTAAAAGTTAGTCCGGTGTTCCAGTTAGGTGGGACTGTACAGTACTTTTTAAAGTTCCACGTCACTCAGTGCCGAAAAGATGGTCGGTACACTTGAAAGCAACGCGGACTGTCTTTTTATCTCTAAATTTTAACATGAGCTATACTGCTATATAGCAGGGCGCCCATCATCACTATTCAGTGGAGGGATGGATGGGTGGATGCAGAGCCGTTTATAGAGAGAGTTTGGTCAATGGGAGGAGCGGGCAGAGACAGGGCGTGCACCAGGCGCAGATAGAGGGCTTGGCATGCTCTCTTGGCCAACCAGAAGCCGAAAAGAATCCCCTGGAGGTGGTAGCGAGCAACAGTTTTAATAAGAGGTTAAGGGTCAAATGTAGTTACTCTTCATGGTTGAAAATATGGTCTACGTGATGTTTCGGTTATGATCATGCAAAAAGATGTAAGAAACAAATGTGCCGCTCGAACTCTGTTTTGCTGGGACAGAGTCTGACCACTCGGACAGCAGATTCCAGGCCCTCGGCCCCTGGTGTACGGATTATGTCGATCGTTCTGCTAGTCGCGCTCTTCCACCATGCATGATTCTGGATGTCCGCGATTAAAATCTCACGTGCACAATATTTTCAGTCACCGAGAGTTACTCCGACGCACTTATTAATTTTGTTTCTCGCGACCTCCGCCAGTGTATTATTTCCGGCTTCTGGTTGGCCACATTCGAATTTGTGAAGACGCCCTGGAACACGCCCAGCGCGCTTTCAGGCAACGGCGTCTCCTCATTTGCCTCCTATACTTCCCAATGAATGGCCAAACTCTCTGTATATACGGCTCTGGGTGGACGTTAACGGATGTGCCCTTTATAACGGTAGCTTGCGCCACCTAACCTAAAAAACAACAACCGAGACACACGTTTCCTCCCCCCGTCGTTCTATAAGTCAGTGTCCTTCCCCTGGGAATTTTTGTAACTTCACCAGGTAGTGTGGGATATCGCCAGTATGACCTCTTAGGGGATCGGGCAAAAATAAAAGCACGCACCCCCCGCTTTCTCCCGCGGCGAGGGAGTCACCAATTTTCATCTGGCCAATTCTTGTCGGCGATACACCAACACTGAACCCACTGTGAGGTAGGGTTGAGACTAGGCCGGAGCCACGCGGGAGGGTGTCCCTATTTTCTTCTGTTCCACCTGTCCCCCAGCTGTGCCAGTTAGTCGTATTTCATTAAAGTTTTTTCTAGATTATCGCCACCAGTTTTCTAACCGCATTCTTTGTGATTGTAGTCATTTTCTCCTTTGTTCTTCCATCTGCGCCAGCAAAACCTAGCGCCGTGCCAAATTTCTTACCTTATTAAGGGAGGACAGGGAGAAGCACCGAGCATTTTAAAGGAAGACTGAAAGAGTATTTATGCTCGTCGAGGCTTTTATTTGAACATGACCTATAAGAGATCAACTACCCAGAACACAATTTGCGGCTCGAAATTCGTTTTCTTTCTGCCCCCAAAACAGCCGGTCGAGAATTGGCCTGTTTCAGCCCCGCTCACTCTCGTTTCAATGGTCACGTGGCGTTCAAACTATGTGTACGAATATATTCAAAGTTGTGGGTCCAAAGAATTGCAAATACGTTGATA